AAAAAAAAGCCTTTTTTTTTTAAAGAGGAACCCTTCTAACAGTATTAAAACACACCTGAAATAATGGAAAATCACTTCATTAACCTAAACCTCCAGCTTCACATATTTAAACTATCGTGTATTATGAGTTATTGATTCATATTAAAGTTAAAACAGTCAATTTTTAGTTTCTGTGTTTATACGGCATTTATAAATGTATCTGGATAAGAAGAAGATGATAAAATAAACACAAACAAACTGCAAGCTTTTGTGAAAAAAGATTCTTTTGGCTGTGAATCATAAATTTATCAGTAAAGGGTACAAATATTAGCAGATTTTGTTAGCTAGATTTTATAGTGTCAGATGGGAACAGAAATCTTTAAGACTGTTGAGCTTCCTCTTTAATGCTGCAATTTTTCTAAGAGGGCTGTAAAATCCAAGTGTCCTTTATCATAACCACTCAATAGCAATTTTGCTATAACAATTATGAACTAGGGTCCATCAAACGATGCAGGATTAAGATCAATGCTGTTCTATTTATAGCTATTCGAACACGGACTGTTTTTAAGTGTAGTCCTGTTTCTGTGGCTGGATAGATGTGCTCTTTCATCCTTTCATCCATCCGACATGGTAGCTGGCTTGGAGCTTGTCTGCCTGGCTGTGTGTTTCCTGGACTGGGCCTCCTGTGGAGCTGGCTGACAGTTGCCTTTTGTTTCTCTGATTCTTTCTATATGCCTGCTTCTGTCTCATTGAACCACAGTCGGCCTTGGCAGCTGGCATGCTTAAATTGAGCCTGGTTCTGGTTTTGCTGAAGGTTTCTTCCTGTTCAAAGGGAGTTTTTCCTCCCCACTGTCGCTTCAAGCATGCTTGGTGTGAGGGATTGCCTTTGAGTCAATGCAATCAACTGGTTTTCCTTAGATAGAAAACTTTAAATGAATTTGATTGTATGATCTGGTGAATTGTAAAGTGCCTTGAGATGACATGTGTTGTGAATTGGGGCTATATAAATAAACTGAATTGAATTATGTAATTTAGTTTGTTTTTACAGGGCTGAATGGATATACAGGTGCTGGTCATAAAATTAGAATATCATGAAAAAGTAGATTGATTTCAGTAATTCCATTTAAAAAGTGAAACTTGTATATTATATTCATACATTACATACAAACTCATATATTTCAGATGTTTATTTTGTTTAATTTTGATGATTACAAATGACAAAAAATGAAAATCTCAAATTCATCATATCAGAAAATTAGAATATTACTGAAGACCAATAAAAACAAAGGATTTATAGAAATGTTGGCCAACTGAAAAGTATGAACATGAAAAGTATGAGCATGTACAGCACTCAGTATTTAGTTGGGCCTCCTTTGGCCTGTATTACTGCAGCAATGCGGCGTGGCATGGAGTCGATCAGTCTGTGGCACTGCTCAGGTGTTATGATAGCCCAGGTTGCTCTAATAGTGGCTTTTAGCTCTTCTGAATTGTTGGGTCTGGTGTATTGCATCTTCTTCTTCACAATACCCCATAGATTTTCTATGGGGTTAAGGTCAGGAGAGTTTGCTGGCCAATTAAGAACAGGGATACCATGGTCCTTCAACCAGGTACTGGTAGCTTTGGCACTGTGTGCAGGTGCCAAGTCCTGTTGGAAAATGAAATCTGCATCTCCAAAAAGTTGGTCAGCTGCAGGAAGCATGAAGTGCTCTAAAACTTCCTGGTATGTGGCTGCGTTGACCCTGGACCTCAGAAAACACAATGGACCAACACCAGCAGATGACATGGCACCCCAAACCATCACTGACTGTGGAAACTTTACACTGGACTTCAAGCAACGTGGATGAAGTGCCTCTCTTCTTTTCCTCCAGACTCTGGGACCTTGATTTCCAAAGGAAATGCAAAATTTACTTTCATCAGAGAACATGACTTTGGACCACTCACCAGCAGTCCAGTCCTGTTTCTCTTTAGCCCAGGCAAGACGCTTCTGACGCTGTCTGTGGTTCAAGAGTGGCTTGACACAAGGAATGCGACAGCAGAAACCCATGTCTTTCATACGTCTGTGTGTGGTGGTTCTTGAAGCACTCACTCCAGCTGCAGTCCACTCTTTGTGAATCTCCCCCACATTTTTGAATGGGTTTTGTTTCACAATCCTCTCCAGGGTGCGGTTATCTCTCTTGCTTGTACACTTTTTTCGACCACATCTTTTCCTTCCCTTCGCCTCTCTATTAATGTGCTTGGACACTGAGCTCTGTGAACAGCCAGCCTCTTTAGCGATGACCTTTTGTGTCTTGCCCTCCTTGTGCAAGGTGTCGATGGTCGTCTTTTGGACAACTGTCAAGTCAGCAGTCTTCCCCATGATTGTGTAGCCTATAGAACTAGACTGAAAGACCATTTAAAGGCTTTTGCAGGTGGTTTGAGTTAATTAGCTGATTAGAGTGTGGCACCAGGGGCCATCAATTTTGAACCTTTTCACAATATTCTAATTTTCTGATATGATGAATTTGAGATTTTCATTTGTTGTCATTTGTAATCATCAAAATTAAACAAAATAAACATCTGAAATATATGAGTTTGTATGTAATGTATGAATATAATATACAAGTTTCACTTTTTAAATGGAATTACTGAAATCAATCAACTTTTTCATGATATTCTAATTTTATGACCAGCACCTGTAGATAGGTTTCTGGAAGCATTTGAAGATGTACTGATATTTTTCTTTATTTGTCTCAAGGGTCCTTCGTATGGTTAGTGCCAAATCATGGTGCATAAAATAAAAGTGGCCTTACCACACTTTGGAAAAGTATTGCTTTTCTTGTACTGCCAGCTGCTTGTAAGGCAGCTAGCGCTAGTGTAGAATATAGAAAATAACGGGTATATTTTCTGATGGCCAGGTGGTATCACCATTGGGTGAGAAACACATGTAACAATTCAAATAGAAAACATCACATAAATATAATTAGCAGATATAGGTTTTCACAAATATACAAGTTATCAAGTCCTATCGAATTTTTCCAGATACATTTAAAAACTACAAGTATTAGCCTAGACTGACTGCCATTTTTATAGCAAATTCTGCCTTAAGAATGTTTTTAAAATGCCCAAAAAACCCCAACATATATCTGTTAATGAAAGGTAAATTTAAAACATCATACAGCTTTTGATACCAGCAAATATGTTTTTTTTTTTCTTTTGATATGTTAAAGTAAGTCAACATTAGCCTAACCAACATTATCTAGCTTCCATAGCTAAACCTAATGTGGCCTTCTTTGTTTAAAAAAAAAAAAAAAAAATCAAATGGAAATATCTTCATGTTAACTGAATTGAAATAAAAGTTAAGAAACATACATAATCTATGCTTTTCATTTTATTTTTCTGTATTTATCCAGAAAGCTGCTAATTTAAGCCTCAACCCCAAAAAAAACTGCACAGGCATTTTTTGTTTGTCTGTGTTTATTGTTGATTATATCTGTTAAATTTGAAAATTTATGTAAACAAAGTATATAGTGAAAATTTGGTTAGTAGTTCCAAAATCGGTTTAATATCTCTTTGTGGCTGCTAACTAGTAATTAAATATTATCAGTCTTCAAAGAAATGCCTTGCTTTCTATACAGTTTTCAATAACAGCAAATTACTCTGGTGAACATAAAAGTATCTAAGCAAAGCTAATTTTAATGGCACCAAATTGTAAGGTATGGAGGCTTTGAGGCGAAATGGTTTTCTTCCTTAGGCTGACCAGTCTTTGGTTTGAATGTAATGGCAACAGAAATAAAAATGAAAATGACTGAAGAGCTGAAGGATTTTCTGCACCCTGAAAAGATGAAACATTGAACATTTTGTTGTGCAATTACAATCCTAGGATATTCACCCTAATAATGAGTGCAAGGTCATTTGTGTAAAACAGCGAAAAAATAATGCCTGGATTGTGTATTGATCAATGAGAGCAAGAAAAACAGAACATTGTTCACATTTCAGTAAAAAAGTAAAGGAGAAAATTAACATTCATAAAAAAAACAAAAAAAAAACTAAACAAACAAAAAAAAACAATAAAACAAGAAATTTCTCTTAGGACCATAACTGCACATTGCATAACTGCAATAGTATAAGTTAAGAATGACATTATTACATTTAAATGAGTCTTTTTGTTATTTCCTGTGTGACTGGAAAAGAAAAAGTCTGTTAAATTTATTTTATTCCATACTCCTTTAAAGAGTTTCCCTTTGTCAGCAAAGAATGGATTTGTTTAGCATCAAACATTGAATTCACCCATTGAGCAATGGAAAGGTCCAACAAACTTAGTGAAGACCTAAAAGATTGAAGTTAACACAAGCCGGGACTACTTTGAACCATTTTTGAACAGCTTCAGATTCAAGATAATCCAGTTCAAACAGGTTTATGCATTTATAAGTTATTTGGATGTGCCATCTGCTTGGAAAGGAGGGGAAAGAAAAAGAAACAAGCTGGTACCATTAGACTGAATAAAACTCATTAGGATGTTCAAGGGACCATGTTGGCTCCAGCCCATGATTGACTGTGTGACAGACTTTAGGTCCACAACAACAAATTTTCACAATACTTTTAGCTTTTTGGGATTAAAAGGAATTTACCAGTCACCAAGCATGGTGGTGGCACCATAATGCTGAGGTTGTGCTGCAATTTGCTATGATCTACTGTAATTGGTGGACAGAATAAAGGTAAAATACCTCTGCCATCATCAACTTAACCTTAAAACAACAACTAGAAGTTTGAATCATGCACACAATCAATCGGTCCAACTGCCAAATGATCCTAACCCTAATTACATATAAAACAGCATTTTGATTGAATAAAATAGGGTAGTATTAAATGTTTAATATTACCTTGCCAAACCCCTGATTTAAAACCTGCAAAAAAATATGAGGACTATGTAGAGCATTTAGATGGCTCCAAAGAGCATGTAGCAAGTTTACAACCTGTTGAGGTTGAACTAAATATTACAGTGGAAAATGTTCAGTACATTCAAACTTATATGCCCAGTTGTATTTTTTAAGAATATATGGAGTAGTGTGTGGAGCCTTGATAAAGTTGAAAAGTCTCAAATCTTTATCACTCATTATCATGATGAGCCGTACCTCTGAATATCAGAATCACCCTTACAGAGCCAGCTAAAGCAGAAACACCCATACCGCAAGCAGATACCCCATCGCTACTGTTAACTACTCCTTTGTATTCATACAAGCATCTCACCTACACTTTTAGAAAATATATTCACACTCACAAGCGCCTGTCTTGTAAATTTGCACAAAAAAAATGTGCATGAGAACGAGAGAGAAAGAAGACTGTGCAAATTCTAGTCAGGGGCACAATGACCGAGCAGTAATAAAAAAACAGAACATAAAATGCATGTTCCCATCACCAATGAAAAGAAATAAAAAAACATTTCCACAACCAATCATCATTGATTAATCCCCCAAAAAAAGGAAGCTGAATGAGCTCTGATAGATCTCAGTGACAGTTCTGCTCACAACATATCGCACAGCAGAGCAGGCTGTGGAAAAGTCAATTACATCTGCCGTGGTATTGAAAGGCAATACCAACAAAGAGTCCAGAGCAATGTGCCAACCCCATCCTGCTAAATATAGTTAAAAAAAAAATCACTGGAATAAAAGAGAAAACTAGTATAAACCTGATGGATATACAAAGGCTTAAACACCACTGAGAATCAAGTGGAAATCTCTGTTCACATACTCTATTGGTTCTAAAAAATATATATTGTGTAGTAGGTCTTTCTGCTTCCTCATTGGACAAAAATAAAGTCAGTCCAAGCCCTCCAATGCAGCATGATAACAGCCCAGAAATCCTTATCAGTATCAGCTGAATGATGACGTCTCAGTGCTGTCTCCTCCCCTCTGTCCACGGTAAGTCTGCTCCACTGACCGGAGCTGTTCTCTGGCTTTCATTCAGCTCTAAACGGCCAAATTAAGAGTTTTACCAAAGCTCCTTAACCGGTGGGTCAGTCCTGGAGGTGTCGGGTGAGAGGTTCCTGGTGAAGCAGGAGGTAAGACGCAGGATGGGTCGAGGCTGGGATCAGGTGGGGATGAGGTCACCTCACCTCCAGCCTCAGCACTGCTCTGACTCAATAAAGCCCTCCTTCTCATGGCCCACTGGCTCCACCTCTGCATATGCAGGATGACCAGAACCTCTGCGAAATTTCATGGCCGGCCATTTGCTTGGACGTCTCTGCAGGGTCAGATGGGAAGATGTGAAAAAAAGACACAAGAAGTCAAAGGTTACAGCTCGGGAGCAATAAAAAAACATGTTAAAAAGCATTTGATAGAATTCAGATTTTAATTGCTAATTTTTTTCTGTCACACTTAAGTGTTTCAGCTCATTTAATACATTTGAATGAAACAAATATAAACGTTAGAAATACAAAAAGCAGTTTCTACAATATCATTTATTAAGGATAAAACTCTACATATAAAAAAAAGACTCAATTTCAGTGACATGGAGGATTCTCGAGCATGAAGAGCCTGATATAGCAAATGAATGAAATTTAGTCTAAACTTTTACTTTGCCATTCCAAAACCTTCACTCTGTTCAGTCAAAACATTAAATGTATGGTTCAGTCAATTAGCCGGATGGAAAACAGCTTCAAAAAAAGATCCAGAATATTGTCCGCCTTCGTATTCGTTTAAAAAAAAAAATCATAATCATTGGGCCTAATTAAGCAAAGTACAGCCTGCAGCTCTTTGAATACTGTGTTATTTTAGTTCCCTCCTAATTAAGTTGTCAATGCATAATTTTCAGTTGGCTTGCCAATAGGGAGAAAGTTTCACATTCTGGCCTGTTCTTATTATGTCTTTTTGAGACCTTTTAGCCAAATTTATGTTGTTCAATAGTTTCTGTTTAGGTGATTTATTGAATATATATACAGTTTCTGCAATCAAGGCTGGTTGTTGATAGCAAAACTGAAGTAAAACCTCCAAAAATGAATTAACTCACAGCTGATCCATTAGGGACACATTTTTTTTTGCATGCATCATTTTGGAGAATTTAAGCACTGATTTGTTTTAAATGATAAATATTCAGACCCCTGTAATCCATGCACTCTTTACACCTGTCTCAATTCATTCAAATTTTAAAAAGTCTAAACATCAGACTTTAAACTAAAGATGGAAAAATCTACTCCAGACTCCAGACTTACTGTAAAATAACCAGGTAAGCTGTTATTGCAACCCTGAATTAAAATATACAAATTTAGATTCTGATAAGCTCTACCCGAATTTGCAACAAGAAATATGCTTTTTTTTTTAAACTTACTGTCGATATTATAAAGCTCTTTAGGTAATGGCTGTGGTATTGTAGCTTTTGTAGTATGTTATTGGTAGCAAGGGTTTTAAAACACTGATCTTTTTTATACCAACATGAAAACTTTGACTTATTCTTTAGTTTTTACTAAGAAGATAAAATAACCTCTCGTGTATTTTTTTTTAAATTAAGGACAAAGTTTGTGATCCAATTTCACCATAGAGAATCCTGCTGAATATCCATGAGTCAGAGATCTTCAAGCAATAGACAAATCATTTTTTTCTATTGCCTTATATTTTTTTTCTATTATATTATATTCTATAATCTGTTTTTAGCAAAAATAAATTTCTTAATCTGTTTTTTTTTTTTACAGAAATAAAAGTATGAACAAAAAACAATTAAACCAGGATTTTAAGAGGGATATGTCTGCTACTGTTCACCTCAATGAGGAAGAGGCTGGCTGCGGACGTCGGGTGATGGTACACATAGACAGTTATCAGCACGCCGGCTATCATGACAATCATTACAAGCAGGATGCCAAGGATCAGACCAGTGTGTAGAGGATGGGTGCCTGGGCCTCTGTTAACGGCGCTATCAGCTGGCATAACTGAAAAAGAAAATATAAATATATACAGTATATGTTTTAAAAATGCATTTGCAGTTCTATTAGCAACCTCTAGGGGTCAATCATCATTCATAAAACACTTTTAAGATGTTCTTAAATTTCTTTCATTGTTCCAGCACTCTTTCTCTATAGAAAATAATTTATTCCAACATGCATGTGGGGAAAAAGGCAGTTGAAACTGTATTCTGCAGTTTTCTGGACTGAAAAGATTTGTTGCCAATTTCAGTGTTCAGAAGGTGGGCTACAAACGTATAAAAGCAGGATCATTTTGTTGTTCAGCAGGATTCTTATAAAATGACAGGTGCATATCAACATTCAGATGTTATGATAGAGCATTGGAAAGATTATATCAACAGCCTGTAAACCTCAAAAGACCGTTTTTGTCTTTGGGGGCCAAATTTGAAGAAAACAAAATGTCACTTTGTGCAATTTTTTACAAAAGGAAAACTCTAAGTGTCAAGAATAAGCTCAGCCCATTTGCTTGGAATAAAACTAAAATTCAGTGTCATACATATTCTCTAGGTGTCAACTGGTTCAGGCCAAATCTATTTTCTTTTCCTCTGTCTGCCCCCTGACAACCTCTCCCCAGGCTTCTTTTTGCATTTAATTAGCATCTGTAGGCAACACAGAGCTTGTCAGCCCACCAAGCTCTCCCCTGGATCTCTGCCTCATTCATTTCCAACACGGAGAATAACAGGGTGGTAATCAAACCTGTCTAACACAAGAGCGTTCTCTGTAAGTGTGAAGCATTGTAGGTCAAAGCAGCAAACATGTGCTGAGAAATATTAATAACCTGGAAAAGTAGCTCAGATGTACCTAAAATAACCTATTGTATTCAATTTTAAGCTAAGGACAGCCTTTTGTCATCGATTTTAATCGGTCATCAATGTCTGGCCCTCATTTTCTGTTATGGCAAATGAGGTGTAGGGCTTCTGATCTGTCGTACTGACAGGTTATAGCAGGGGGGGTATCACTGAGAGGAAGGGACGAGCAGATGTCAGGAGTCCAGCAGAATCCAGACATTGAGAGTTCAGTCTGGTCTCCTGCAGAAACAGTTTAATCTGGATCCTCAAACCAAGAGGAGAATAAAAAGTAATGTGGGAGGCTGTTAAAGTCTAAACGAATCCACCATTAGACTACTACTGCTGTGATTAAAGAACATTAATCACAGTAAAGACAGTAGTTTACCAATAAATATGATGGTTCTGTCTTGCAACTGTAAACCTTTATCACAATAAATGGAGAATAATGGACACAATTAAACAGTACAACTCAGAAATCCAGGAGCTCCTTTACTGTTTATGTTCAGTGCTTTTGTAACATCCTTGTCTAATTTTTCTCCAATTCAGTCAGGGTGTTTATATATTCAATTCCCCTATTTCTAACTGATGCATAAAACCATTGAAATATATATCCTATATATTGATGCAAATGAAAAAAGAAGAAAAAAATTACTAGGGAAGCTACATTTAAATTCAGGATACATATATTTTATATAATCGATGGCATGAGTGCATTAAAAGGACAGGATGTGATAAATAAGTCTGCTTTCCACTTCAGTTGTAAGGATAAATGTGTGGTTTATCAGACAGCTGTTGTCTACATGATGATACAAGGCTAAGGTAAAAACCTTTCCTGCTTTTAACATACAGTGAATGTCTAAAAAAAAAAAAGACTGTATTCAGTAAAGAATCATTCAATATAGCTTTCATTCAAGCTTACTCTAGTGTTTGTAATATAGTTTTTACATATTGCTTAAATATATATATAAAACAATAATCGGTTCACTGATAAACTATTCAACAAATTGTGGTTGGATCAGACAAGATATAGTAAATATCAAACTAAAGATAAAACAAGGGAGACCAGATCCTGAAAAAAAATCTTATTTATTAAAAAATAAATGAAATGGTAATGAGAAAAATATTGAAAAGGCTTTCTTTCTTTCCATTTATAAACTAATCTACAGCTTATAATCAGGCTAAATGTTATAAAAAAAAACATTCCTTCCTGTAGCATCAACACTAGGGCTGAAATAATCGGATTAATTGTCATTCATCTTTTATTGGAATAATCTTCAACTCATTTAATAATCGATTGATCGTTAACTGTAGTATAGAGACTCTAAAACAACCATTTTGCATTTAAGACTCAAAGATGTTTTTGTCTGTCATTATGCTCAATCCAGAACTCCTCAAGTGGAAAAGGTTTAGTTTCACCTGGTTTGTTTTCGTAGAAACGTCTTTAAGGAACCTTTTACTACCTGATTATTAATCGTTTCATCTAAAAAGTTATCGACGCATTAATCGACTTGCAAAATAAACGTTAGTTGCAGCCCTAATGAACAATCCACCATGCCTCAGTCTCACAGAGAAGCAGAGTATTCTCCTGCAGATGGAAACCAGTCTTCTCTATTATCCTCCGTCTGACAAAGGACTCTAAGGAAGTCGAGCTCTGACAGAGTCGTGAAATGAATCAGAGGACAAATGACCGGAGCAGAGACCCTGAAAAATCTGTTTAAAAGAAGGCTACCATTGACCCACATCACACCTCACCTCTGGTAGATTTAAAGAAACCAGTGACGTTAGCTGAGACAATAATCTAGTTCCAGTGTGAGCTCCTGAGAAAGAAATGATTTAATCCTGCTGCAACAATAATCACCTGAAGATTACCTCCAATGCTTGAGCATTGTGTCCCTACGCCATATCTTCCTCACAGACCCGTTTCACCTTAACTAACCCTACATTGTCCTACACTGTGATAAAAGTTTAACCGATGGGAGAAAAATGCAAAAACATCCTCAGTGTCAGCACACTGTTGATTTCATAGCTGTGTGAATAAAAATCATACATTTTTCATTTCTCTTGATTTGATTTCTCCAGTGCTTTCAACACCATTCAGCCTCTGCTGCTGGGTGAGAAGCTGCAGGTGATGGGTGTCGACGACACAAGGATCTCCTGGATTACTGACTACTTGACAGGCAGGCCACAGTTTGTCCGTCTGGGCAGTGTCCTGTCTGATGTGGTGGTCAGTGATACAGGAGCTCCACAGGGAACTGTGCTCTCTCCCTTCCTCTTCACCGTATACACCACTGACTTTCAGTACAATTCTGAGTCATGTCACCTGCAGAAGTTTTCTGATGACTCAGCTGTTGTAGGGTGTATAAGAGAGGGAGAGGAGGGGGAGTACAGGACACTGGTGGACAACTTTGTGGAGTGGTCCGAACAGAACCACCTGAGGCTGAATGTCAACAAGACCAGAGAGATGGTGATTGACTTCAGGAGAGAGAAGAGGTCTTCACAGCCACTACGGATTAGGGGGGAGGTGGTGGAGGAGGTGGAGGACTGTAGATACTTGGGAGTGATAATTGACAATAGACTGGACTGGAGGTCTAACTCTGAGGCTGTGTACAAGAAGGGGATGAGCAGACTCTATTTCTTGAGGAAGCTGAGATCCTTCAATGTGTGCAGCAAGATGTTGGAGATCTTTTACCAGTCTGTTGTTGCCAGCACCATTTTCTTTGCTGCTGTGTGTTGGGGCAGCAGCATCAGAGCCAGCGACACCAACAGACTTGATAAAATCATCAGGAGGGCTGGTTCTGTACTTGGACTCAGGCTGGAGTCTTTTGAGACTGTGGTGGAGAGGAGAACGCTGAATAAACTCTTATCCATCATTGACAATGATCAGCACCCTCTCCACCACACAGTGGTCAGACAGCGGAGCACCTTTTCTCACAGGCTGCTCCAGCTCCGCTGTCGAAGGGACAGATACAGGAAATCTTTCCTACCATATGCCATCACATTGTACAATAAAAAATAAACTCTTGTTTCAGCATACAGTAACCAGCACTGTACTGTACTGCACTCCATATTTTAATATTTATTTATAATCTGTTCACTGCACCTCAGGACTGTTCACTGCACCCTTATTATGTAAATTACCCTTATAATGTAAATTACCCTTATAATGTAAATACGTGTGGATGTTATGTTATTTTTACTTTTTTCTTATCTTATTGTGTTGTGACTGTCACTATGTGTAAAGCTGCTGCTACACTGCAATTTCCCAGCTTGGGATAAATAAAGTACATCTATCTATCTATCTATCTTCAGGCACAAACAATGACTGCCACTGTCAGAGTCATTATAATATTCTGTTTTTTAAGGACTCACCTTGGCTGTCTCTGAGATGCATTGGAATCTTGGTATCATCTGTGAGGAGACAAAGAACCGCAGGAGTCAGCCAAAGTAATCAGACTTTCTCTTTGTAGTTTGTTTTTGATGCTTTAGCTCTATCAGAACCTCCCCTCAAGGCCCCAAAGGAGACAAAGCTTCTTTCATTAGCGAACCATCTTCATTTACTACTGTTATTAAAAATGAATGCCTTGAATATAATGAATGAGCATCAATAATTCAACACATGATATCAGGCTGGGGTTAAATATACGTGTGAAATATGGAAATGTAGGGTAAGCCACTTCAGCTTCAAGGGTAGGAGACACTTACACGCATTGTGCCATTTACATTATGCTAATCTGGAACATTTTCCATCAGGTCTATTTGCCTCAATGGTTTCATTCAGAAAGAACTGCTGCTTCAAGTTTTAAAACTACTCCTTTAGGGCCACAATGGAAAGGATCCTGTGTGTTAGTGTGATAGGAGGGGTAACAAGGAACAGGGAAGAGAGGACTTAGCACAGGTAGTGAGGACAGCAAAGGGAATCTAGAAAGCTGCGTACTGGTTCTGGACTGAGTTTATGCCATGCAACATTGCTACAGATGTGACATCCGGACATTGCACGGTTTGTCTCACTTTCATTAATAAAACAATTTAGGGACTCACATATATTAAACACACGGGATATGTCCAAAAAAAGCTTTTCAGGTTAACAATAAACATTCATTCACATGTTTATCTTAATTTCCCATTTTTTGCAAGCAGCAAAAACAAGTTCAAAACTTAAAGGATTAATGCATATTGCCCTTATAGCATGTTCTATACAAAGGGAAACTTCTATAACAGAGATATTTCTCCTGTTTCTGCCTGTTTTCCTTTTCTAGAACTCTCCCATCGAGCCACAGGTTGCCTCCATTTGCACCACCTCCTCAGTAACCTGATCCCTGCCCTGCTGCAGCTGAAAAGACATCCAAGACATACGTGTCAAATAGTCAACCATAACAAATACTCGTACCAGACTGTAACCCCTCATGACCTCCTGAATTTCCCATATGCAGTGATTCCCCAGTTATTTCCCTCACCACACCCTGTTTGGATTTGAACTGTTTCGACTGGTTGTGTTTATCCCCTCGGTTGGATTATTTTCACACAGCAGCCCAGCAATAAGTGCCCATCCTTAATAAAACTCAAGCAAAAAGAAAAAGAAGATCAATGAGCTTGTATTAAAAAAAGGTGAGTCTCTGTCTCTAAGTAAACACCTCTATGAAAAAAAAAAGAATCAGTAACAGAGATCTAAATATACAGAACCATAATAAACATTATTTAACTGAACAACACAAGAAAAGAACAAAGTCCCTGGACATCTTTAACAATAATATTATCCTTGCTCCTTTAGCTGAGTAGAAACTCTTTGGATGATATAGACTTCTGGAGAGGAAATAAAAAGACTTCCTATTTGCTAAAGGTCCTAAGCAACAAACCGTGTAGAATTTGTTTACTTATAAAGCAACTACAAATAAGTTTCCGATTTATAAAACTTTATGTACACACAAAGACACATTTTGTCAAATACTAGGAAAATAAAAAAAAGAAAAGTAAGTAATAGAGGTACTGTGAATAGATAATGTGCTTAATTTTAATGGTGCTGACCCTTAATATTAGTCTGTAGGAGAGGGTCAGAAACCAGTAGCTCAGAGCAACAAGTGGCTTATATATATATATATATATATATATATATATATATATATATATATATATATATATATATATATATATATATATGTATGTATATATGTATCTTTTAAAAGGAGGAAAAGTTTTGTTTTTGTTACATAATGTTCCATGGATTTTAACAACCCATTTAAAAAGTATTTAATCTCTTTTCAAAAGTTTCCCCCCTTTATTTCAAAACCCTGCTTGGTGGGGATTTAAAAAATATTTATTAAGTTATCTTATTCGTTTTTGAAGAAAGCTCATTTAGTGATTGTGTTTAAAAGCTGGTATCAAGTTAAAAATGTCTCTTTGGATTGTAAAGACTCGCTGTAGAGGGATTTTAAGCAAGGAATGGAACAACTTATTCCAGGGATAAGCAGCATTTTTATTCTTTCCAAAGGTAAACCCCACACCCCCCGATAACTAAATACTATTTGCCTATAACAGAACATTTGGGATCTCATGAAGTTTTATATATGGAAAAAAAATAACATGTGGTTTTATTGTGAAACCATAACTAGGAAAGAAAGCCATCTTTTTATAGAATGAGGCCAACTGAGTCCTTCTGATAACAATTAATAAACTGAAAATGTAGATGAACTGCTAAACCAATTTGTTAAAATAAAATACTAAATTTGTTAAGGGTTACATAGCTTTACCAGTAAGGTTGGTTCTAAACCTTTAAAGACAAATTCAGCTCATCAGACTGGAAAGAGTGTTGGTCTGAAATCAAGTCGATTATTAATGATCCCTGACATCAAGCAGTAGTAAGATCAACACAGAGGTACAAGTAAACATATTACATAAAGAGTACAGCGTGCTTTTAGCTTTGATTATAAAGGGTTTCTATGGTAACGTGATGTTACATAGCAGGTGAACACTTCCTGGAGTTAACATAAATGTCAGACACATTTAAGTTTATTTTATTAAGCTGTCTTAAAGCAGAATAAATAACTAAAATTATCCCTTTCCAAGGAAAAGTTAAACGTGTAAATAGCAGGTTTAGCCAGCTTACATCACATGCAGAGAAGTCAAGGAAATGGAAGTAAACAAACTTCCAAGGACACCTTGACTGTTTTCCTATTATCAGCAAAAGAACTGTGTCAGCTGCTTTTTACAGGGGATTTGCATTAGATAGCCATGAGATGATGCTTTGGTTTAGACTCCTGCTGGGCTGCAATGAATCATCTGCTGAATATATTAGAATTGCAGAAGGAGAACAACCTTCTTGGTTTTTGTAGTCCGTGAAGAACTTTAGGCAAGAACACTGATCAATATTTTCAGCATGAAAACTTGGTATTATTCAAATTTAACACATGAATCAGGAAAATGTTTTCTAAGGAAAATAAATCAAGCTAAATTCTATTTATTCTAATACAAACCAACATCAGAATTATTTTATAGCCAAAAAATTAAATTATTTCTAAATTAGGATCCTGTTTTATTTATAAGCAGAAGGGGAAAATGAGTTAGTACGATTGGTACTGTGCATCAGTAAAAAAGGGGCGGTTTGCAGCAGAATCCTGCACAGGTTTGGTTTTTCAAAACGGCATCCATCTGCATCCGCTGAGTTCAGAACCGAGACCCGACCTGTTACCCACAATTATCCACATTTAAATCCTGGCTGGGATGGCACGGACCCGTAAATAATAAAGTGTACACATAAAGTTTACACACAGCCTTTTATAATGACAAAGACAGTAAAGAAGATTCCCTCACGCTCACATCCACTGCGTGCTGCGCTCACAGATTAACAGCTGTAAATTAAAAAAGCAAAGCAAAAGCAAAAGTAAGTTTGCCTTGTTGCAAAAAAAAAAAAAATGAAAACTAAAATAATGTCCTTCTGGACAGAACATATTCAATTAAACATATTTTGTGCAAAATGTAAAGTTTTGTACAGTTTGTATCAGTTCTCTTGGCTACGTTACCTTCAGTGGGAGTACTGTTAGGAGGGTCAGAGGTGGAAGGTTTGTCCCAGCCTGCTGTGGTTCCTTTACTCCTCAGTGCTGTTCTAGCAGTGATAGTAGTGGTGGTGAAGGGGTTCAGTTGGGTTGTATCATCTGTGTCACACATCGTGTCTTTGGTCTGATAGGAAGAAAGTTTTTTTCACATTTTCTATAAAGTATCCCAAAAAAAAGCATCAAAAAGCTTTAATCACATACATCAATGTATCTGTGTCTTGCATTTTACCCCAAAACTCTTGGTTTGGTAAAGTAAAGATGCTTAAAGGTATAGTGGAGGACGTTCTTTTTTCGGGTGGATCATCCAAATAAGTTATCCTCCTAATTGTCAATAATTATGGTGGTATGTTTAAAGTTGAGAGGGTCAAAAATTAATGAAGATCCCCCACTATACCTTTTTTTTTTTTTACTTTTTAGGCTCTGATCAAATCCTAATTCCAGTTCTCAGTTTATAAATCTGACAATACCAAAAGCCTTCACTGTGGTTTTTGGTCATCCTGTCCAACAACACTTAAGAATTGCATCTGGATCACTGACGGCATGAATGCATGAATGACTTTTGTAACTAGGAACTCCAAGAACAATTTTTTGAATTGAATCTTTACCTCATCTGGGCAACTGTTATCCACCCAGTCCTGGCGATGGCGATCAAAGCCACTGGAACATCTGAGGGTGAAGGAAACATAGTATTATTAACATCTACAATGTTTTCTGTCTATTTATACAAAAGTAGAAAATACCTTTAAAACTGTATCCATTTAAAAGTAACTGCAAATATATAAAAACTATTTTATAGTGCAAATATATCCGTTAAATAACTGTATTCTCTACTGAAGTAATAAATGTCTCCTTTTGTTTTGCTTAGAGTTCAACGTGTTATTTATTTGTTAGTTAGTTATTTATTTATCATGAGAATAAAATCTGCACATTTTAAAAGATAGTGAAAAACAACATTTTCTTTGTCAAAACTGCAGCAGTATAGTTTTATGCCCATTAAACCCCAGTATCAAAGACACCGACAGTCCACTGAAACATGGAGACAGCAAGTCCTCTTGGTCTCCTAAAATCCTCTTTCCTCAAATTGTCTTTGCACCACAATTTTACATGCTTTGATACCCATTGATGTGATTGAAAACCTGCAGAAATCCATTTGATGCATTTGGATTTACAAATAAAACAATGGCATAGAAAGCATTGAAGCTTCAATTATTGTTATAATTATTGATCATGTGTTGTTTTTCATTAATTCGTTGATAATAGTAGGTGATTTACAAGCTGTCTAAAAACTAGTGGTGGGCCATTATCGGCATTAACACCAGACTCTTATCGGGCGATAAAAAAACATCACCATTAATCTATTCTCACAGTTGGGTTGGTAGCTAAGTCTATACTGATGATGACTTTCACGTTGATAGTTTAGCGCGGACGTATATCTGGGAGCGAGAACGAACCAGTCTTCGAACCTGTGTAGGCTTACTGTTAAATTACCACATCGAATGTGACGTGTTAACATGGATGCAGTCTTTAAAGACTCCGGGTTTGCTTCAGGAAAAAAATATTTTTAAGAAGATTTCCAAGGGAAAACTGGACAAGACTAAAGCGGTTTGCAATGTGGAATTAGTTTACTGCAGGAGTTCTTCCAGTCTCAGTGTACCACCTAAAGGCTATGTTATGTTACTTTAAATTTATTTTTAGCACAACACCACGGATGATTACCACAACATTATGCTTGCTTCTGGATGATTGCTTCGGTGGATCTGGGTAAAGTGGGACACTTTTTGAAAATGTAGCTACTGTGGTATTTATTTAGCCTATATCATTTCTAGAACCAAAGTTTCATATGATGCTTTAAAAAAAAAAAAAAAACTTTATCTTTACATCACAGGAGACATTCTAAACACAGATTTTAGTCTTATCCTGTAAACATTTCATTATGACATATTATGTAGGCCTGCAGTTCAGAATTAATATTTGTCTGAATAAACAGTTCATAAACACAATTACATCTTATTGAATATTATTTATTTTCATCACCAGTTAGTAGAAAAGCTGTCTTAAGCAGTTTATAATGTATTTTGGAAACAGGAGAAGAACCTCTGGTCTAATGCACCACCTGGCTTAAGAAACTTGCTTAAAGACTTACTTTCACTTATTATTTAGGTAGCACACACATATCATGAATGTCTTTGGTAAAATTCAAATGAGCAATTTTATTCTAGATTAATTTAAAGATTACAGAGAGATTAATCTAGATAAAAAAAAAAAATCTATGCCCTCCACTACTAAAAACTGTCTGCGGAAAAATGTTAAAGCAACGTGTTACTCCTGAATTAAACATGTTACCCATAAGAAATATTTTCAAACTTGAGAGAGTGTGAAGAAGGATATGTAGGGTTTCAAATTAAGGCGGGTCAAAACACTTCGTCTATGTAATTTGCCAAACAAACCCACTCAAGGAAACAACAAATAAAACCTACAAATTAGAAAAAGTGTGGATTAAAATGAATCAGCACTGTCAGAACACTAGAAGCTGAGTAAGGTTTCCAGAAGATCCCACATTCTCTAAAGAGCATATTGTTATGGTAATGAAACTATGCCCCCAAATCCGTCTGCTCAATCAGCCAAATCAGATTCCTCTATTTAATTCCTCTCTTTCCCCTGACTGATTCTGCCTCCCGAGGCCACAGCAAAAGGCATCACAGTGTGGCACAATGTAACCGTGGAGGCTCAGTCTAACCTGTCCCTGAACGGAGCCAGAGCTTTGTTTCTTCTCACTGGCATCCACCTCAGCTAGTCGTCGTCCAACGCACTGAGCCGATATGCATTTAATCAGAGATGGGAAACTTCATTTGAATATAAATGAGAGAATGTTTCTGCTTAGATTGTTCACTTCAGTCGCAAAAGGATGAGCCTATTGTGTTGTTTTAGCTATTTAAGTTCAGAGAAATCTGGCAGCCATGTTGTTATTTTCTTTCACTAAATCAGACCCATCTTCGGAATGAATTTTAACCAGAGAATTGGTTATTTAACTGATTTGTTTCACTGCTGAAAGGTCCTTGTTGCGTCGATGGATCAGAGCCATATAATTTTATTGTTGCTGCATCATATGAGGACCATAATAACAGGATTTAGAGATTTGTTCCAAATAGTTTTGTTGAAGGAAAAAAAATACGACTGAAGAAGAAAGTTTATTTATTAGCAAAATGTCAGTTAGTCCTACTCACCCACAAGAAGTAACAGATAATGATACAAGGGCTGACATGAAATGTAATGTGTTTTATAATTGTTTACTACAGCTGATATTGAAATGAATCTTCATCTAAGAGGAATATTAAACGTAGTTTCAGCACCAATTGTTATCTCTCTCTCAGCTCCATACTTAGATTAAGCAATACATTTCTTTTTACTGGCTCATAATCTTGCAGATAGGCAAAGAAATCAGTAGTAAAATCTGACTTAGTCCCATTATCAGATAAAGATAAGCGATTAAAATAGAACAACTGAGATAACAATCCCTCCATAAAGTTGTATAGTTTTTTTTCCTCAGCTTGTCATTTTTTCCTGTTTTCTTCTACTTTTCCTCTTTTAATTCTCTTAATAGTTAATATTAGCAAAAAATACCATACTTTTTAAAGATTTTCCTCACATCTTCTAATCAGAAAATAACTCTAAAGTCTTAATGTCACATGTGGTTATGAAAGTTATAAATAACCATCCTAATTTCTCCTGTAAAATGATTAAGTATCTACTTTAAGATATTCAGCTTTACGTATTTTATTGTTGGTTTTCTATGAATCTACTGTTGTTTTCTAGGAAATTTGATCTTCGGCTGAATTGAGTTGTCAAGGATTTTCTTGGATGTGTTTAGAATTTCTATGGTATAACCGTCACAACTTAGCTGATTATATCACTGTAAGGAAATCATTAAATCACACACTCAAAAATGTTTCACCAGAATTTCAAGATACGTTTTTTTTTTTTTGTTTTTTTTACATAACAAATTCCCAATTACTTTTTTGGACATTATTTGAATGCAAACCTGTTAAATAAATAATTTGTGATGGATATTGGTAATTATTATTATTATTAGTTTATTTATTTTAAATACATACAGCTTATTGTTTGAATTGTACAATTATTAGGTTACCTTTCTGCAATAAAAAAAAGGTTATGTATTTGAAAAAAAACACTTATTAGTATTAATATTGAGTAAGCACAATTTATTAATAAAAATAATTAAACCTGATATTTATATGTGTCAAATAAATACGCTTTATGATGAAAATTAATATATATCATGAGAAGTTATTCAATAGGTTTGTGTTAATCTAAAAAAAGGAAATAGGAATGTGTTATGTAATATTAAACAAATCTAAAAATGTGTGTAAAATATTTTTGTCCGTCCATTTATATCTCCTAACTTGCTGCTCTCACTGAAATGATTTTCACCAAATTAGATTTGAACTTTATCCTAACCTAAGATGACTTGTTGTGAAACAATCTAGTAAGGAACAGACACAGACAAGTTACCAGCAGATTCAGACAAATTCTTGTCAAAAGATTCAGGTTCCTAAAAACTCACTCCCTTGCTGCTGGCTTAGACCAATCCCAACTCTGTCTTTACATATCAGGGGATTGCCTACTGTTTTATTTGAACATATCTGGATAAAGAGTAGATAATTAAGCTACACCAAAGGTCTTCAACAGGGGGTCCGCGACCCCCAAGGGGTCAACAGAAGTACTGTATGGGGGTCGCAAAGGTTTTGGTTGATTAGACTTTTTTTTTCATATTTCCCCTTCCATTTTTTTCCACTAATTGAAATGTCTTTAAATACACATTAACATGAATTCAACACACTGTAGTAAACAGATAAATGGAGGCAGAAGATGTCTTTCAGTCATCAATGCACACATTCAGCGACACACAGGAGCTCTTTCAAGCTGGGCACTGTTTCATTCAAAACACCTGTCCCATCAACCAGGAATCAGAATCAGAAATACTTTAATAATTCCAGGGAGAAATTACTTTTGTTATGTTACTCCATCTGTAATAGAGTGACTATAGGACCAGCTTGATATAACACAATTTCATATTATATATATAATTAGGGGGTCCCCGCTACATCTTGCCATCAGTTTAGGGGTCCTTAGCCTAGAAAACTGTTGAACACCCCTGAGCTACACACTTCCAAACATCTGGATTTGTGCCATTAGCTGTTTTAAGACTAAATTCTGCCATGTGCCATTTATTGATCCGATGTGAAAATAATAATTTAAAAACATTGGGAACCCATCAGAGAAAACAGGCAACATATCTTACTTTTTAGGGAATTTTAACATCTTAAGAAAAATGTATTGTACCAAATTTCTTAGTTATTTCTAGCCAATGAATGCAAAGCACCATGTAAAAAATGTATATTTTAAAGAGTTCAAGCTCCTACCATTCCCTACTGGCCTGGATAATCAAACAGCAGCATAGTGTGCTTATGGCTTGGGCCTGCTCTGACTAAGTTAAGTGATAGATATATTTCTTTTAATTGCTATATATTCAGATTAAAAACAGCCACCCCTCTGTTTTCTGCATTAGCATTAATGCCAAAATGGCAAATATTGTAAATAATGTAAATAAATAAATAAAAAAAGGTTTACAAATTGATTAATAAACCATTTAGGAGCAGTATTAAAAAAATATGTTAAGTCTTTAAAAACCTGACAATAAATGTCAACTCGGTGACTCAATCAGGTAACTCATTCCTTAAGCCGGCTTTGACAGTAAAATATGTTAAATCTCTGATGCATATCACCTTTTTGTTCATTCTTTTTATAGAAAAACTAATTTCTGGGTTTCTACCAAAGTAGAACCTCAGTTGCACACAATAGCTACAACCACTCTCATCAACTTGAACCTTTGCATTAAAGAGGTGCTGAGCTTGTGCCGTCCCAGCTCCTCACAGAGACGTAAGTTCAACGAGGCTGTTCTTTCAGAACATCAGCATCTCTAATTAACCCCACAACCATTGAAGCCACAATGCTTTTTAATTAGTGCATGCCAAAAGCATGTTTGCCTTTTTTAAGAGGGGGGGTGCTAAAGGAAGCTGAGTTAAGGGGAGGGGAGCTGAACTGTGAGATATTAACACAGTCGGAGAGCTAATTAAAATGCAGCTCAAAGTGAATACTGCTACAGGCGCTACAGTATCTCTCCGCACCCATAAACTGCTGAATACATAAACAGGTTTTCTCGCTACTGTAAATTAGTTTGTCTCTGTCAAAAGGAACAAGATTGAAAATGCCAAGCAGTGAGAATGTCATATCTGAAATGACTTATAAGGCCTTCACAACAAATCAAAGTGGGCAGTGCACAAGTGCTACACATTTCCCCGAACACATCACTCACATTAAGTGACGGCACAAAATATCAGGGAGTGGCAGATTAAATGTTTATGTATACAGTTTTAAAAATACTTCAGCAATAAAAGAGAAGTGACGGTCATTCCACAGGCCAAACAGCAACCTCCAAGAGGGACGTAATCAGGACAGCAAACATCTTTTTAAATGGGGAGTGGATCATGTCTCGTCTCTCCATAATTTATTCTCTTTGCTCTTGTGCGTCTTTAACTCAGGGTTTTCTATCCGACTAAATCAAATCAAAACCACTAAAGCTCACATTTCAGCTGTCAGGAAATTCTGGAGAGGAATGCCGACACTTCTTTAGCTGCTCAAATATTTGCTTTTGTTTGAAGTGTGGAGAGACAAGCGGGATAAGGGGGAAGGAAAGTGGAGCAGAGGTTGGCTGAACAGGTGTGAGTTAAGTGGATGTCAGAATGAGCTGTTGCCTAATACAGCCTCTTTACTCCTGAGGAAAATAAAGGCTAAATAAATAAAATCTCTGCAAAGTCATTAACTGACAGGTCTGAAAGGGTCATTTGAAGGTTATATCTTCAAAACAGTAGCACAAATTTTTTATATTTAGACTGTCAGCTTATTTCGTATTCATGCTGCAAAGATTGTTGAAAATGACAGGGTTGTATTTCTGTTAGAAAATCTCACTTTTTTGTTGTTAATATATGTTTAAAATGCTGTATGTGTAGTACTAATGCTATCTCACATCCTCCTAAATGTTTTCAAAGTCTAACTCCTCTCAAAAGCAGACAGACCTTGTAGTAATACATCTATAATATGATTTATTTTAAAGAACCCCCCCAAATGCCTGTATATTTTACTCCATATACTTAAAATAAAATGTTTATTAATTAATACCTGAAAAACCCCTGAAATCTAATTAAAACACCTCAAAGTTCAGCAATACTTACATTTTTTTCTTTCAGCTTGATAGAAAGGCTAATACAGCTTTATTAATAATACTCACACCATAGCAATCTTGCCAACCCACTGCAGTGCTGTCACCATACGTAACACATCTGCTCTACCATGTTTTCTTACAACCAAAAGAATATCCCCATAAAGGTTTAGTTTCTGCTTTTCAACCATCAGTATTAGCATTGCTATGTAGGAGGGACCATCGTCATCATTCTATCTGATAATCAGCAGCATAAAGGGATGCAGATAAAGAGAATATCTTCACACATCTTGCTTACTTAGAATGTCCTAAAAAAAGAAATTATTAAGGAAGTTCTGACGTGATCACATTGATGTAATAGGTCTGAGGTTGTTTCTTATTACTTGCAATGTAATTATCATATTATTGCATTAGCAGCTGCTTTTAATGTTTCTCCTTGTTGTCATCATTGTAATTTTCCTTCTACATCCTCCTGTTTCTACACCTATGCTGCTGCTTCCCATATATTCATATCTCCTGACTCTGGTGAATATATCAAGCATACTCTAATGATATGGATGGTCAATCTAACTTGTAAAACCTGCAGCTGCATTCTATATTTCATTTATTGCTTCTTTCTCATAAGTGGTATGACAAAAATAGGTTTCTCTCGGTCTACCAGAAGCCAACAGCTATATCCATTCTGAGGTGTATTCCACCCATCATAAATGAGATATTATGCCACCATGATCATTAACCCCCACTTTTTGGTACCGTACTGTAGTAAATACTTTACAGTTTTTTTTTTAAACAATAAATATCCACAAGAGTGTAAATAACAGCCAAAAATGTGATAAAGGGAAGTGTTACAGAGAGTAAAAGAAGCCAAACCTGTTGAGCCGATGACACCAACTGCAGTTGAAGTTTATCTGAGAGGAGATGCAGGAACCACAGCTGGTGAACTGGAGACAGGCTGTGAACAAGAAGAGCCAACACATTTAAAGCCTTTCTTGAAATGATAGCAGACCCTCAGACCCTCGACTAATACATAAGCCATTGCAGAGAAAAAAAGAAATAAATAAAGATTCCTTCTTACTGGGTAAAGGCAACATTTCCACAGCAGAAGAGTTTGTGATCCTGGTCTTTGTGAGCTCCACACGGTGGTATTCATAAATTGTTCTCCGTCTCACGTCTACATTCAGAAGACAAAGACAATTTGAGATGAGAAGACAACACCTAAACATTGAAGCCTCTGAGAAAACTGGGACAAAAAATATAGCAGCTGGGAAAACGGGGTCAAACGGGATGCTGCTTCAGCTCTTCTCTGCTCTCTTTGAGCCCAAAGTGTCAGACTATGACATAATAAATAGTCTGGGTATTTCTTTTTTTCTGATATCAGTCTAAGGCATTTCAAAGGCCACTCTATCAGCTGACAGTAAGAGCAAGGAATCTGATGCAGTAAGATGGAGCACATGATTACAGATAACCTCACTGAAGCATATTCCTTCCTAGCAGGTCTAAGAACTCCTTACCATGCAAAATGTGGAAAAGAGTCTCCTTATGAAGCCAATGTAAGGTTAAACAAATAAGAAATAGACCTTTCTCTGCAGGCACACAGGGGTAGAACTAAATTTGCACAATTATTCTGTTAGATGCAAATATTCATACTCATCTGGAAGGCTAATGTTTATCAAGATGCAGAGGAAGTTTGGGTTTTTGACCTACAGTACATTATAAAGAAAGTAATGGCTTAAAGCAGGTTTTGGGGTACAGTGCATTTATTTCACAGCATCTGAAATATAGATAAATACCTTTTAATGCTCATGTTTCTGTTGATCAGGAATAAGATGGCTCTATGTTGTCTCTAATTTTATATGAATTACCCTGTAAGTAAGTAAAAAAAACCCTTACATGCATATCTGTTAAAGTGAATCTACTTTCATCTCAAAAGCTTTGTTAGTCGCTAAGGCTAAGGCTCCTTCATGTCCTTCGCTTGGACAAATTCTCTTAGTTCCCCTGCTTGGTTGGTTTTTGATCCTAGGCCCTGTTGACTGCACCAGCCATGGTGTTACTTTCCCTATGCAATGGGACGTTGCCTCCCTGCAGACCTGCTCGGCTGGATTATACACAGGACAACTGATCAAAGGAATTGTGAGTCAGCTCAGATCAGCCCGACAATAAGTCCAGTCTTCCTTTCTTTCCTCTACTCCCCTAGTGTCTGACTTCCTCTTGCTTGAAGCAAAGAGATTATCAGGTGCCTAATGACATAGTGGGGGCCTAGGGAAGGTTAGTTTCCCAGCTTGAGGCTGTCGGAACGACCTTTGTTGAATCATGCCATAGATTCTTGGTAGATTTTTAGTCTCAACCATGATTCAAACACATTAAACCTTTTTTACTTAAGCCACTATATCCTAACTCATTTAAAGTCTTTAAAAGGTTTTGTGCTAGTATTGTACTAAACATAGCTGCATCCATCTACATATAAACTGTAACCAGCTTCCCACTTTTCCAATTGAATAGTTTTCCAATATCCCATGGGAATGGTGTTTTTAAGGCAATCACAGCGCTACTGATACTGTTTTGCTTGCAGCCCAAAAAGTTTAACTTTGGTCTGATATGAACGGTTGATCTTCTCCCAGATCTTTGCTGACTCCTCCACATAGATTGCGGTAAACTTTAAGCTGGAAATTCCTCTGCTTTATTTCAACAATCACTTTCTTTTCATCTGCTACAACAGTGAAGTGCAAAAATGTTTTTCCTGGTGATCAACCTCTGTACAGAGCAGCAAAATGCTGCAGCCAGGTTCTACAGCATTACCTGAGCCTCTTGGTTTTTGTGACTTTTACCTCAGTTTAGGCAAAATAGCCTGTTTAAAGGGTTACAGTTCTTCAATACCGTTTTATTATCAGATGAACCATGAAAATCCTGAAACATTTTTAAATCTTAAAATATTGCTTCATGAATTAACCCTGATTTTTCCCCAAAAATTTCCCTTGACATGTCTGTTGTGTTCCCCGACTTTTGAATGCAGTCAGTTGACCAACATTATATATAGGGGAATAAATATATTTAGGATGAAAAAATAATTAATTAATGCATGCATCATAAGTCTTATTGACTTTTTTACATCTACAAATAGAACTTTTGGCACTTTTTAATTGAATATTAGGCAGGTTTGGCTTTCCATATATGCTCCGAACACAATTTATCCCATTTATAGACTACCGCTTGTGTGACATAGATTTGAGCACAAAATGTTACTGCCAAAATCTTTCTCACCTGTACCACAGCACCTGCCTGATCTTATCGATGCCGCCATGGAGGCGCCTGGCATATAAATTAAAACATTGCAATCTTTTAGCAACCTGTTGGTGTGGTCTTAATTATAAATTCATCTAGCAAAGACAGACAACAAATCCTTGACAGAAACTGCTGAGTTTTTGCACAATAAGGGTGATAATAAACTGTAATTTTCTGCAGGTGAGAGAGATGCTAAATAACCTGGTTTCTGCGGATTGAGGCGAGTTCCTCAGGGGAGAGTCTCAGTACAGTATCTATGATAAATTGATGAAGCACTGCCTGACCCAGGAAGGAGGGCAAACAGCATGCTAAACTTTACAGATACTGCATCAGTGGCATAACCGTTTAAAAGGAATGGGAGAAGGGGGAACTTCCCCAATACTGCAGTGAAGAATTGAAAGAAAATAATGATACTTAAAGATCTGATGAAACTTAAAGGTACAGCGGAGGATTTTTGAGAATTTTTGAAAAGACCTGCCCTCTCCAAAAAATGCACAATCACAATCCTGTACCCACTCCCAAGAGGGAACGCCTATCAAACACGTGCAAGAGCATGCACAAGCCCATTTCTCCATTTGCACAATGTTTAAAAGTTGCTGTTCGCATCTCTCATACAAGCTTACTTTCCAAAAGAAGAATTTGCAATTTTTCCACTATGTCAGACTCACCACTGGTAAGTGAAAATGGGGACGAGCACGTAGGACGGCCTTACGTAAACATATAACCAGAAAGATTGACAATTAGGAGAATCACTTATTTTGATAATCTACCCAGAAAAAAAAAACATCATCCACTATACCTTTAAGTATAAAACAGCATTAAAAAAAAAAAAAAGTCTTGGATACAGATTTGTCAGGTAAGTTCAGCCACCCAACCTCCACACCCCCACACGACCCCCACCCTGAACCTTGGGAAAAGGGACCCGTTTGTACCCCCATGGTAGATGGCGTGCTCAAATTCTCACACTTTAGAGCTGCAGTTTAGAAACCCACAGAAGATGGACTGGAACTAATACCATAAAAGGTAATTTACACAAAATTCTGAAAATATTTCACAAAATTTATAAGTTTGCCCTTACACAAACTACGAAATAATCTACCCACAAAACACTTGCACTTGATTAATCTTAGTATTATTTAAAAACTCTTTATTACTGTACATAATTCCCAGCTCCAATCTCTGCATGTTGGTCACACACTGGAGCTGGAAGAGTAGGAGTACAAAAATTGGGGAGCAGAGCTTTAACTTCATCTAAAGAAATATCTCTGAGTAAGAGAAGTTTAATTATTTTTCAGAGAAGTGTATTAAAGCTGAGCTGTCACATGAGCTTATGTCGGACCTGTTAATTACACAATCTGACCACAGGACACCCACAAATCCCTCTCTGCTCAATCTTCCTCCTGGAGCTAAAATGAAATGCATTATTAAAGCCAAATAAAGTCCTCTCATAACCATAGTTGGTAGGCAGTAATTGGCAGCAGAGCAACTTTCTGCTGTAGCCTATAGCGGTCATAGTCAGTATCATGTCTTAATGTAGTTAAAAGAGCAGAGATAATAATCTGGTGAGACAGGGATGTAACAATCTGTCAAAATACGTTGTCCTCTGCATGATAAGCTTTAAATGTAAGCTGGAATGCGCTCAGGCAGATATATGGCTTAACTTTTAAATTTACATGTAGATTTGCAGAAACTGTAGCCAGGAGACTAGATAAATCTTGGGAGTTAATGTTTCATTGGCCCTGGCAGACTCAGCAGGGTTTATATAGCAAGTCTTTTTCTTGTCATTTATTCTTCCAGCAGCATCTTTTCCAGCTCTTCTATGCAACTACAGTGCAAAGGAGAACTTGCAGGAATATTAGATGAATAGCACAGCTGAGCATTTAGTTGCTATGGCATCTTATTTTCTTCTGCTGTTTTCACCTCTCCCTGAAGAGATAATATCTGTCTATAAATAATCACTTTTGAAGGTGTCCTCTCTCTTTAACATCTTTTAGAACTAAAACGAAAAAGCACAATTACAGATGCTTTAACAATGATGGAGGGGTAATTTGTCATGACTTGTGAAAAAAAAAAAGAATGTTAATCAAATCATGACATAAATTATGTTTTTGGTCTTTTTATCATCTTCATTCCTTCTGGCCATCATTTTGGATTTTGCAACTTTCTTATCTTTTAACCATTTCATTTTTTTATTTGTTCTCAAATTTATTTATTTATTTTTATTTTTTTTAAGAAAAGGGCTTCTCCTTTTTAGATAGTTCTGGATTCTTAATTGCAAGAATTTGTTTAATCATCTGTTGTTTCTTTTTCTTTGTACCAAATTATGATGCATTTTATTTTTACTCTGACATTACAAGTAAGGTCTGCAGGACTGAAGATGTTGTTTATGGTTCTGTGACATTTTAAAGGTGTTGTCGATATGAAGTAGTTTCAGAAGTGCGGCCAGTTACAGAGAGGTTCACTACACTTCCAATGATTCTTCATGTGGATAATGACTCTTAGTGTGAATCAATCGGATCCGAATGGCTTGGAAATGGTTTTAACCTTTTCCTGACTGATAGATGTCAGAGATACTTATTTTATGTTAGGACACTGTGGCTGCTGTTTAAGATTTTTGTTCACTTTATCTTTTCAAACATTTTCCATTTGGTTGACTGAGAATGGACAAGATAAAATGTGATTACACATGGATAATTCATGATTCATCAAGGGGTGAAATTACATTTTTACTTTCATACACTTTTTTTTTTTTTGTGATGTTGACATGATGTTAACTTCTTAAATATATAAACATGCTAAAGGAGCAGTCGTTATGAGGGCAAATATTTTCATTGATAATAACAGAAATAAGTATTAATGTATTACATAGTGTGACCAGACGTCCTCTTTTTCCCAGACATGTCCTACTTTTCATATCCAGAAAAATGTCCGGGGGAATTTCAAAAGGGTCCGAGTTTTTGGTCAACTACAGTGCAGCAGAACCGAGCCGTCAGCACAACTGTGGTTTGAAGTTGGATATTGGATATTCAAGCTCTTCTTGTATAAGACAACCAGAGTTCTCCACTTCTATTAACTTTGTGTATGTTATTTCTTTACATTCAGATTTTGTCATATGTTTACAATTTCATGTGCTGGTTTAAAAAACTAAAACTCGGCTACTTGTCAGATACTCACTGGGTATTTGCTGGATCTTGTGGACCACCACAAAGGCGTCAGACAGGCCAACCTTCACCGGGTGATTGACGGAGCTGATTTGTGATATCTCGATGGGAAGCTTAATAGGAAATAAGAGAATATCAATAATCAGCAATAAACATATCTCCTAGGATCAGTATCTTGAACACTGACATGTATAAATAGCTTTATGTCTCACAGTGAGAGCCTCAAAATGCTGTGAAATATACTAGAGAAAAAAACAAACAGCTAAAGGGTACTAAATAATGTTGGTATTTTTAAAATGATGCAACAATGAAGTCATAGAAATGTGCTGTTTTGTAATGTATGCAAGCATCAGTTATGCTGAGCATACCTTTCAAAAGAACGTTTCAGAAGTGACAAAGATATTTTAAAAAGTGTTAAAAGTTAAAAACAGCATGAAAAAAAAGAGTGAACGCTGACTGATTGCATGGAATGAGTCAGAACTTCATTTCCGCTGAAGACAAATAGATAATTAAAGGTTTTCATTTTCTAATGGCCACATGATAGGGCCTGTTTAACATATTGTTCAATAGGATCCCCTTAAGATTAACTTTAAGAACTGTCAAAATGGCTATGGCTGGAAGAACATGCAACATTTTGTGCATCCCAAGAAACAATGGGGAAAAAAGACTAAGAAATTGCAAACTCCATAAAAATAATCTGTAGTATCTTCATGTTTTATTTCCAAATCTGGATTCAAGGGGCTAAGGCTTATATGAGTATAACAGTATGATTTGTGGCAGCGCAATCATAAACACTAGCAGAGGGGAAATGTTCACAGATGAGGTATGAAACAGAATCAGCCATAAGAGAAAAACAGCAAAGAAAAAGATCAAGCAGTATTTAAGGCTTTACCTCTTTGTATGCAAAGACAATCCTTCCCGTATTGTGCAGTGTGGCCTGAAAGGTGAAGCTGCCTAAGTTGTAGTTGTCCTGCAGGTGGACGTGGTCCCACTGCACCACCAGAGCAGTGCCTAAAAAGAAAATAAATGCATTTAAAATGCATACATTTCCCCATGCTGGATAAGCTCAAGAGGATAAAGGAAACCTCAGCAACACCAAAACACAACCCTATCTGAAGTAAAAACAGATAAAGAACATGGCAAAGAATAACAAAATATTAAAGCCAAAAAGATTTGTTTGTTGAAGGGATTATCTGCCTGTAGGAACCACAGAGACTGTTACTGAATCAGAGGGAACACTAATATCACTCCACTGGAGGAGGATCAAACCACAATAAAACCTAAGCTTTTAAAGAACCCAAAAACCAAAAGGCTGTCCCCATTGTGATGGATTATACAGTTCGGGCAGTTTGTAACTACAGGGGGAGGTTTCACATGCTGTGCAAGACTTTGCTGAATGACAACGTGGAGAAAAAGTGAAGATTTGCTCTTTCAACAAAGAATCAAAGATTCCTACTGCTCCATGTGAAAGCTCAAGAGGATTGAGTTTATTGAAACATGTTTTTCACCTTACACAGATCATTAGAATTTGGGACTTGTGTCTAAAAGGTGTGTAAACACAGAAATCAGGCAAACATCCTTTCTGTGCAACACTTCAGATTCCAGACATGATTGTACTTCCACAGCTACTGCAAAGCTTTGACTAACGTATTTCTACAGTTATTTGCTCTTTGAATCACAAGTTCATTTGGAAGATATGTTGATACTGAACATAGGCAAAATTTTTAAACCTATTTAAACATGATCATAATGGCTGCACTATGTGGTGTAGGAAGTACCCCAGGATCCCTCTGTTTTACATGAAGGTGTTTATGCATCTAGTTTACATTAATCTGTATTCTATAGACAAAATTCTTTCTTTTTCACAACTTCCAGTCAGAGGCTCAAGGGTTTAACTTTTTTTACAGGTTGAAATATGGTTTCAGAAAAATCCACTGTTCCTCAGCATCCCTTTTGGTGATTGTAGATATGTAATGGAACACATTAAGTACTTAATTCAGGAATTAATTATTACATTAAGTCAATAAATTGTTCAAAATAAATGAGTTAATTTTCTAATAAAATATTTCAGCTGAATAATTTTCCCTGATGCACATCTGCTCTTATTTACAGTAATATCTTCAATCTAATCTTGGATTGTTTCCAATTATCAATTTTACTCTTGTGTGGTTTTTCCATCATTAAGAGATGGGAGTCATGCGTGCACGGCATAATTACATCTAACATCTATTTGCATTTTCAAAAAATCTGGTAGCTTTTTGGGGGGGCATAATGCTTTTGAAAGGAAAGGAAGAAAATGTGCCTGGATCAATGCATTATGTTTTATCCTCAAGAATTTGATTTTTTTTTTTTTGTTAGTTCGTTTTTTTTTTTGCATTTTTTTCTTCATTCGGGTGTTTGCCAGGTGTCAGAAGGAAATCTATGCAGGTTTAGAACAGGTATGTATTTTGCTCATGTGCTGTATGTTACCTTAAAGTTAAATAACATTTTTTCAGTCTAAGTAGGTCAAAAATGATTTGATCAACAGAAGGAATTGGAAATCTAAATAATCAATGTTCTTACAGCACAGAGAGGAATTTATAAAATTTTTAACACATGAATTAAGTTTAAAAAAAGATTCAGAAGATTATAAAGAAGACAGTGGACTGTTAAAAAACTCAGAAGTCCAACTGAATCCAGACTGCAGGTGGGAATAAATCAAGGAATAATTCTGTAAAAAAGCCTTCAACTCTGGCCTCCACAGAATGGACCTTGCATTACTTTTAACATCAGGTTGATTTACTGTGGACTTTGGAGAACCTATTGATGTGAAAGCCATTGGGCTCTCTGCCAGGGTAATAAAAGTTTGTTTACACAGCAGCCAATCAATTTTTCCTTTACACACACAGAACACTTCCATTCAAGTAAATATGAGATCCAGCTTCTTTGCTGACAGCTAGGAGATGGCGACCGTTTGCACATGAACTTCTGTAAGAAATTTATGGATGACTTGCCTGAGCACATGTTTCATGAGTAGACAGATGACATATTTTCAGAACACTGTGACCCAAGTGTTAGAAGATTGAATGTAGGAAAAAGAAAGTAGAGAAATGTAATTATGATCAAAAGAAATCAGGTCTCTGTTTCCGATTTTCATGCATCAGAGTATAATTAAACTGTTCTGAGATGCAACATGTTAACAATGATTTTAGTCTTATCTCAAATGTAAAAACACAACAGGATCAAGTTTGTTTTCAACACAGCAAAAATGAAAAATAAAAACAAAATACACCCCACATATTTTATAACTTCCTTAAGCACCTTTAAAAACAAAGGAGGGGAAGCTTTTCTTCTATATCTAAATTGGGTCTGGAGTTTTGGCTGCTGTTTCTATTTTTTACAAAATTGATTTCTGTAAGTGCAACTTTCAGTGAGTAATCCATGACAATCTCTGTCAATGGGGCAAAAATCTAACAGAGGACTATTTTTCAAAAACACCCTTGATTGTCCCATGCAGAACCATAACACTAGAGACAATTTTTCATAAAGTGAAGAACATTCTGAACAACAGTGAATATCCTTATCAGCAGACTGTTAAACAGGTGTCTTCAGTAAGAGGCAGACAGTTACTGCAACATTTAATTTTTATTTGGGGTTAATAAAGTATTTTTGAATTAGAATTTTAGAATTTTAATTGAGCCATTACATGCAAATCAGGCAGAATTGTACCTTGTTCTTTATGAGTTTGGAAAATCTGAGAAGGAAACACCTGCTCATCTATAAACAAGTTGTTTAATGAAACCATGACCGCAGTGGTTAGCTCGCACGGCCAATGTACGAAAGGCCTTAGTCCCCGACATGGCCGACCTGGGTTCGAATCCCATCTGTGGTTCTATGCCGCATGTCTCTCCCCCCTCATAGCTTACTTTCGAAAACATGAGCCACTAGCGCTGAAAAAATAAAATAAATAATAAAAACCATGGAACTGGGAGATTCATTAATAATTATTAAGGGGGTAGAATCTTTTATCAAGCATGCAGGTGCAAACAGTGGCATCTTGGGATAACCAAAGTACCATAATGGCAATGAAAAGATGGCCAATGAGAAGGGGAAGCGAGGTATGGGTTAAGGAATTGTATTATATGGCCAAAGTTACCAACAATAATCAAGAGACTTTGGTTGATTCAGAAAAGATATGTGTTTTTACATCTTTTAAAATAATTCAGAAGATTTTGATCCAACTCTTAAAAACTTTTTTTTTTCACTTTACTTTTGAAATCTAAGTGTCTGATCCGGCACAGATGTGTGAAGTGTAGCTGAGCGTTGGTAGTGAGTCATCAAGCACAAAACTGAAGGAAAAAAAAGAATCCCAAAGAAATGGAAACGGAGACTGTAATTATGTGTGACTAGAGTTTCATTATTAGAAAGTATTATTCTCAAACTTTTTCATAGCAAAATGTCAGACTAATGGATAAGAGGCAGTCCTAAGCATAATAATTAAGGCTAAATATGTTTGTCATTGTTTTAAATATGCATTATGAACAATCAAATAAATGTAATTAAAATATTTAATAAATAATTACAAAAGCTCATTAGGGGAATTTGTTAGACGGTTAAAACAGGACTTGTTAACCAAGACAGGAGCATGTGAGAGTCACGTCTTCGCCTGTCATATTTCATCTTTTTTTAGAATTCTAATCAACAAAAAAGCAACAAAGCAGATCATCAGACAGCCAGGCTTCCTGGAGTCGTTCATTTTCACACAAACCGCACACAGCTTTGTTTGTGAACAAACAGCTTGTCTCTACTGTGAACGCTTCATCAAACTTGTCTTTACATTTTTAATGAAGGCACAGTGGATTGTGTCGTTCCTGTTTTTTTCATTGGCAGAATGCTGACTGATAGACAGCAGGCTACGCTGCTGATCGATCGGCTGTGTTGTCGTTAAAGTCTGATGAGCTTCTCTGAAAAAGGTCACAAAGTTGGTCTGTCAGTCGGCTACAGAGAGTGAGACAGTGATGAGAAAAGTGATGGATGAGACTGACAATACACAGAATAGGAAAGATAGGGAGGCTCTGGCTTGCAAACATATTCATTACCATTTAAATTCATCCCATTTAGTCAATTTAGAACAACAAAGTTCATAGTATTTAATTGGCATTTTATCTGACAGACCAAAGAAAGGGCATGCATCACCATGAAGTTAAAACTTTGTAAAAACCACTGCAATTATAACCTCCCCTGCAAGCTGAATTATCTCTGTATTTGTGAGTTCACATACACACAAGAAACCATATTGTATCACTCCAGCTTAAATCATTTGAGCCTGACCCCAAAAAAACAGGCTGGTCAATAAAGGTGTCATGAAAGCAAGAGCTGCCAACCCCACAGCTAAGCCAAAATATACATGGCAGTGCGGGAGGACATATGTTTAGCTGCTGCTATCCCATCTGATTGGTTAGAATCAAGGATTTAATTATTGAAGAATATTAAGAGCGGAAATGTTTAGACTGTTGTAAATCCAAACTTTGGAATGCCAGCACAAGCTGTCACTGCAGGCAATCAGATCAAAAGGTTCTGCTGAATAGCAATCATTTTGCGACCTGATTTGGCAGGAGCAGTCCCACATTAATACTTGAGCATAGTATTACACATCATCAATCTGGCTTACCAGGTTACTGCTAATTCAGATTCAGGATGATCCGAGACATAGGTAGACATAGGTATATATCAGTGTGTGCAGAGGATTGTTTCAAGTCTGGTCATTTTTAGATGATTTATTTCAAGCTATGGGATTACATTTTTGCAGTGCAATGTAATGTCTGTCCAGGTGAATAGAGTGCAATGCCAGCAGATACTTACTGCACACTCTGATGACAAATTACTAAAGTTTCCAGAGTGTAGGAAGCAAAGATGAGAAAGAGAAGAAAGAGGGAACCAGGAGTATATTACAACTCATATTTGGTTGAGTCCTATCAGGTTGTAATTTCTCCATGTTATCATCTGATATTTCTATATTATAGTTTTCTGTTTATCCTATTTTATTGTATATGCTGATTTTATGGCGGTCCTCTGATTGTACTTGTTTTTTAAAAACTTTTATGTGAAGCCCTTTGGTCAACATATGTAGCTATTAAAATACAACTGACATTGACAACATCTTAATTGCCATATATACCAATTGTATCCTAAATTCAAGATTTCTAATATCATGTAGCCATAGTGTGTAGAGTTACACTGCAAAACAGATAAAAAAAAACAAGTGAAAATATAGTAAAATAAGTGATAACTGAGGTGTTTTCTATTTTTTCAAATGCAAATCATCTTACTGAGTTGAGAACATTTCTGATATACCTGATCAAATCAATGAAAATTACACTTATTTAAAGACAATTTTCACTTATGTTTTCAGACTTTACTTTATGAAGATCAGAGCATTCATCACTGCAATGAACTGCATACACCACTCTGTTCATCTTAGGTTTGGGGGTTTTGTCTTAAGGATGCCCCAGCCTCGATCTAAGGGTCTTGTTTAGTCTGAAATGTACTGGGAATTTGTGTTTGGAGAAAATTCTCTTGAGTTTTCAAAGACTCCAGCAACATATGGGATGGCGATGTTTTTGCGTTAAATCAAGCCTTTATGATCTGTTGTGCATGTTTTGGATTTCCTTGCTAATTTGACAAACGCCCAGTTAGGGTTTTCAAAAACCTACAACACAGCAATAGAGTTGATTCCTTCATGTTATCATCTCCATCCTCATCGCAAAGCAGGAAACCAAAACAGAAAACCTTGAATCCCCCCATCCCAGATTATATGTAATATTCAGAACAGAAGAACAACAAAAATGAGACACATAATCTGATGAATTCATGTTTGCAATGATAAGGAATAGTGCTGATTAATTATTTTATTTTTCTCAGTTTGAGATTAATTAATATGAGAAAGATAACAGAGAACTGCAGTTGTATCCTCATTAAAATTAATTGAAAAAGATAACACAAAAGCTCACCATTGTCAAAGTAAATAACAGTAGAGTTTCTTGAGACACTTGGGTCAAAGTTGGCCATCAGGGGAGCGATGTACTGTGTTGCTGTGAGCATCCGATGAACCACATCTCCAGTGTAAATAAAACCTGTACATACAAACAAAAAGACAAATAAATAAGATATCATTTGGAATGGATAAAATTTACACACAGGAGTTTTTGTTGTTTTGCTTATAGGTCATGCTTTTAGTCAAATTTGTGTCTTTGTCTGTCTGTCTGTCTGTCTGTCTGTCTGTCTGTCTGTCTGTCTGTGTACAGGTTAACTTGAAAAGTTATGACTCGATTTTAATGAACGTTTACTAAAAGTGCACCTCAAGAACGATCCATAAAATTTTGTTGATGATTCACATCAAAATCCGGATGCAGGAATTTTTTTAAAGATTCTTTAACATTATTTGCAGGAACAAGCAGTTGCCCCCTAAACCAGAGATAGGCAGCAGTGACTATTTACACCTTCAGCATCGGACTCAAAAAAAGTCCAGAAGTATCATTCTACGTTCAGACCACATGCGATAGAAGAAGCAAAAAAATTATTTTTGATGCTTGTACACATTAAGGTCCAACTGTTCCTTAAATTAACAGAGATTTTTTTTTAAGTGACGGAAAAATATAAAAAATATTAAAGAAATATTTAAACAAAAGAAGAACACACATGGGTTTGACAATCTATGTAACAGAGATATTTTACAAGAAGACCACAAATGATTAACAAAAAAACTTATTTTCAACAAAATATATTTAATTCTAAATTAAAGCCAGAAGCTGTTATGTCCTTCACAACTTGAGTAGATGGTTTAGCAATTTGCCATAAAAGCAGGCTTCATTTTAGGTCAATTCATTCTAAATAGCATGTTTTTTCCAATTAAGACTAGAAGAAATGTGAACATGTCTTTAAATCTTGCTCAAACATTTAAAACATTTTATAAAAGTAGAAATATTTCCAATGACATGAAGTTTTGTGACATCATGGCTCAAGTTTTCTTTCTTTTTTTTTTTTACAACATATGTATTTCAGTCTATATTGGCAGTATTGATGATGCAGACTTGTTTTGTTTTCTATAAGAATACCACCAAATCCAGACCCATGAATTATATAAAATCTTATCTTTCACTCTGGAAATCACATAGAGAGCTCAATGTGAGGAGAATCAATCTTTCCCCAAAGACATTTGATATAAAGTGCTGTCAGTAAAAAGAACTGCTGCAGAGATAAAAAAAAAAGAAAGACTTGATTTAGTAATACCACATGGAAAAAGATTGAGTGGGGTAAAGAGACAGCATCCTTTGGGAAGTTAGAATGTGTACACTGTTTTTTACCCCTTAAAAGCTACTGTTTCCTTAAATACAAGAGTATTCATTGATAAGGAATAAGCAGTGCTGTAGGCTGTGTCTGTGTAAATATTTCAGAAGCCTTCAGGAAGACTGCAGGAAGATTTAAAGATAAACTGTAATCAAAATAAGTGTTTTTTCAGGAGGTTTCAGAGTATTAAAACACCACAACAGTTCTCACCTGCAAAGTTGGAAGATTTTTAAGGTAATTTTAACAAATACTTATAAACTTTTATTTCAACCTGGAGAAACTCAGACAGAAAAGTTTCAATTAGAAAATATTAAATTCATTTAAACAGGTAAGGCAATCATAATCTTATATTCTATCTAAGGAAAACCAGCTGATTGGGAGGACTCATCGACTCTCTGCAATCCCTCGCACTGCATATGCATGTAGCGACAGTGGAGAGGAAAACTCCCTTTTAACAGGAAGAAACCTTCAGCAGAACCATGCTCAGTGTGAGCGACAGTCTGCCAAGGCCGACTGGGGTTGAAGAAGACAGAATAAGCTGAAGACATAAATGAAATAAGGTTGATTGACCCCACATTGTTATGGAATAAGCCAGAGGATGAGTGAGACTTAGAATGAGGGAGGAGATGGGGTGGAAGTGGGTGAAAGTTCGCTTGTGTATAGGAGAGAGAAGCTGGGCCAGGAGCTAAATGAAGGGGATCATCTAGCAAGATGATTGGCTTCGGAGAAGGTGCTTAAGCTTAATTACTCTTTTTTTGTATTTGTCAAAAGTATCCATAATAACTTCATATTTTCCCAAATAAGCCTTACTAATCTATACCTGGAAAAGTTTAGCTATGCTTCCTGTTTGAAATTTGTTAAAAATATCCTTTTATGAATATGTAAATATCTCTTTTTAAGTAACTTTAGATACAGTCAGGTTTATTTAAGTGTAAGAAAATGAAAATGAAATAAGTTTTTATGCATATAAGACTGAGAAAAAAAGTAAGAAGAGAAAAATGGGTTTCTGGTGTGCTCCATCTTAGATCGTCTCATGAACGGGATATATGCCCCCCCCAAGCTTTACATGAAAGTTCTATCAAAAAACAGCTGCAAAAGCCCTACACTCCATTTAACAGAAGCTTTAACGATATAATGTTTTAACAGAAAATAGATATGATTGTTGGATCTACCTGATTTCTTAGCAGCAAACCTAAAAACAATCTAATTGAATAACTACAGGTTTACTAGCGCCTCAATTTTATTTGTTATGTTGTTTGTTTACGCTGTTTTAAATTTTTCCATTTATAAAAAGGTTAGAAATACCCTTAAACAAAAAACACACACCTGTCTGGACACATAAAGCAGAGTGAAATCATTGTATTTGTGTTCCTGCTTCTGCTTTCCACCAGCCTGAAAACACAGCCCAGGTTAATAGACAGTCTAAAGAAAGTCAGACACCCTCTCAATACACTAAAGAGGTGAGGGCTGCAGGCCACTCAATAAAGAGTCTATTCATTCATTATAGCTGTCACTATATCGAGAAGGAGACTGGACAGAGGAGGAGAGAAACCAGAGGGGAGCAACAGATAGAGGAGAGAGAGGAGGTGTGAGTAATGGAGAGAAGCCTAAAGCTGATCTTTGTTTCTCTGCATGTGTTTATGTGTCCTGCCTTCAAAAATGAGCTGAACTGTATACATCCACGAAAAAAAACATGAGTGCAAATTATCAGAACCATCAGACTAAAAGCTTTACTTTATTGGACAACATGTTTAGACAAGTTCTTTGTACTCAGCAGTCGAGCTGTGTTTCATTTACAAGAAAAATTCTGTTTACTGAGGCTGTTTGAAAGCCAACGAAGGGCCCAGACACGATCAGCACGCACACCCGCTTTGGATTTAGTCTGGCTGTAGAAGACAGAGCTGCCAGGTTTGATCTAATTAAAAATCCATTTAATTTTCATTTATTTTCTTTATATTGACTGTGAGGAAACCACACTGAGCCAGTGTGGAACACTTCCATCAAAATGGTAGAGGAAAGGAGGTTCAAAAGGTAAAAAATTTTTAAGATAAAATGATTTAATGAGTTGTAGAGAAACCGGACCGCACCAGATGGTTAGTAATTTTAGATGGTTAAGGACATTAAAGCTCTTTCTGATACAGAACTGCCTAAAACGGTTCACTTGCTAAATAAACTCAATTAGTGAATGAATATCCTTGAACATGTTGCAGTTTATGAGGAACCAAACAGTTTTCTTTCAAACGGGCGCCACTGCTGTTATACTGCTTCTTCTTTTGTAATGCCAATCGTTCTACAAGTCTTCTTGTTTTTTATTTTATGCTCTAGTAGCCTTTATTTTGTTAATTTTTAAAGTATGTAGACAGGAAAGTGGGTTACAAGATAGGGGAGAGACATTTGGTAAAGGTCAGCAGGACTGGCACTCAAACCTGCGACAGCCAGTAAATGGGTCATCAAACTACCTCCACAACACCCCTTCTTGGTTTTGTCATCAATCATTCAGGCTCATTCAGCCCTCAGATTCTACAGATAATCCTTCACCTGGTTCCATTTATTTCTTCCCTGTATGTAAACAACGCTGGATCTTATTTATATAGGCACCATTTTCTGCGTGCCTGAAACTTGCTTATTCCAACTTCCATGCAAAAGTTGTGATTTAGGACAAAACAAACTTGGCGTGAAAATATGCGGTCCTTCTCTCCACACTTTGAAGACAGGGAAAATTAGCGACGCAAATGATGACTAAGAGAAACTGAAACCAGATTAAAACCGCAGTGTGATGTGTAATGTAAATTCTTTTTATTGTACCACAATGGGGAAATTCCCTCTCTGCATTTAACCCATCCCTTTGGGGTTAAATGGGCTGCCATTGTGTGGCGTCTGGGGAGAAGTGTGGGGTTAAGGGTTCTTGCTCAGGAACCCAGAGTAGAGGCCATGGGGATCCCACCGGGTTCTTGCAACCTTCTCAGAGCACAAGCGCACTGCTCTAAGCACTAGGACAACACTGCTGAACAAATATGACACAAATAATTTAAAAAGGCAGCTTAAATTTAGTACGCACCTTTTTTTAAATCGTTTCCTCACATTCAAATTCCTTTCCCCTACGATCAACTTTGTGAGTCATACAACAGGCCAATATATAAATGTGACAAGGTGTGAGAGATTTGAACTGATTGCTTTAATCGTGCACGGTGGATCATTTTACTATGTTGGAAACTTTGTTAAATAGGAGAATAGGAATCACATTTTTTGGGATTATAAATTTGGACTGGTTATCAGCCCATCAGACCCCATAAATCACTGCTCTTGGACCGATGTACTGAATTGGGTCCAGTGTTGGAGAGACCAACTCACCAGACCTGCGCTATCCCCGTCGTAACAGGTGTTAAACAGAAGATGTCAATGTGCATAACTCAGATGCAGCAAAAAGGAAAAGATAGCAGGGGGCTTGGATCTAAAGAAACACACATATATAATAAAACAATCCATGGTACATATTCAACTCAACTGATATTATCGAATTATGGGTATAGATATTTGATATGTTTAATACAGGCAAAAAATGGATAAGGCTTTAGTCAGTTTATTACAAATCAAAACAACTCATGAAAGATTAGGAAACAAATGAGTTGATGTAGCATAAACACAACTATTATTAAATCCTTAAGATAGGTGTGCTGCTTCCCCAGATTATCATATTTATTTATTTTTATTTATTTATTTTTCAAATTAATCTCTTAGCTCAGGGATGTCAAACTGGTTCCAGAAAGGGCCGTGCAGGTTTTCTTTCCAAACAAGCAATAGCTCACCAGACTGCAGTCATCTCATCAAGTCATCATGTTAAGACTGGAAACTGGAAACACACCTCGGCAGCTGGTAGGTGTTTTTCATCAAAATAATCTAAACTGCGGGCACCAGAATAATAAAAGCGAACATATTCTGCCGGCAGATTTCTGCATTTTAAGTTAATTTATGCGTCAATTAACTGTTTCAGAGGAGTGATCACAGCGCTCTGTGTCATCAGCGATGTGTCTGTCTCACGGCCAGCTCCCAGATTTGATTAATACTTTGTAATAAATACATGAATAAAGCACAAACATACTCAGTTTTGCTCCCGCTCTATTTTTAAATATGCAGTAGAGGTATTTAAACGTAGTAGAGGATATGTACCGGTATATAAAACCCGCGCCCTATAATCCGGTGCGCCTTATGTGTGTGTTAAATACAGTAATGGCACACATAACAGAGACTGCGCCTTTTAATAAGGTGCGCCTTATGGTCGTGAAAATACGGTTAGTCTCCTTTTAAATATCCTGTAATAAAAGGCCTTTATTCTAATTTTTTAGACCTTGTGGTCCTCCTTTCACATTACAAAGGAGCTATCTGTAATTAACTTGCAGATTTACGGTGAAAATGTAATTTAAAATCCCAGATTTTTTACAATATAAACATAAAGTTGGATCAAATGCATTTACAAAGTCACATACCAAAACTACTTTGTCGAAAAGTATGTTACAGTGTTTAAGACTTCAGAGTTCTTGGTTCTTTGTTTAGAAAGAATACTTAGAAACCTTTGTCTATGATTTCATTTTTTCACACTAAAATCTGGAGAGAGGTCAAAACTCCAGTTTAGAACCACCTGCCGGGCTTGTCGATCAGGGCAGACAGCTGATCATGACCACCTTTCAAACTTTCCTTATAAACTTTTCTTTTAATAAAGCTTATGGATATTTGATATCTTAACTAGCTATGCTGCTGCAGGGAACACTCCTGGAAGCTACACTTAAATCTTTTCTTTCTCTCCCATGTTATGCGAGTGAAATTATTACTGGAATTTACTTAATCTTCTTTTTCCTCTAGCAAGCTAATGTAATCTTAGTGGGTTTCATTGTTTTATGGCGTCTCTTCTTGTTTTGACCAAGCACTCTTGGCAGTCTTTCAGTGGCTTTTATTTTTTTGATATCAGTATCAATGTATATATATATATAAAAAAAAAAAAAAAAAAAAAAAAAATATATATATATATATATATATATATATATATATATATATATATATATATATATATATATATATATATATAGTATATATATATATATATATATAGTATATATACACACACACACACATATATATAGGAAATTAAGAAATATAGTATACTATAGTATACTATACCTAGTATTTATAAGAAATATAAATTCTGGGATTAGATGACCAACTACATATGACGGTAACCTAATCTTAATTTGGTGGTATGTAACTGGATTAGAATCTCAATGTGAAAGTAAACTGATATGAAATTAACTGGATTCACCTTTTGTTTTTATTTAGGCAGAATTGGGGTTGACATCATTGGATATAAACTGGAACTTGTTGTTTTGCAAATTGCTCCGAAATTATGTCTTTGTGAATTGGAATATATACTGTGTTATTATGACCATCTATTTATTTAGATCTAGTGGAAAGAATATTTCTTAAATTGGTGACTGAATGAAATTACAGGATCACAGATTGATGAGAGGATGGGCTGACTGAAAGGGGGTACGGGAGGAGGAAGTCTCAGATCAAAACCCCTAAGGCCTGTGAGAGGAAGATAGCTGCCTCCTCCTCTAACTCGTTGGTGCTGCCTTTCCATCTCTGTCTAGCAGTATGCAAATACTTGTTATCTCCTCCTTGCTTGTATGTTGCAAGCCCATCCCTCTGGAGCCTCTCTAAAGCCAGCTTCCAGAAATTAAGGATCTAGGCAGTGATGATGGTGATGATTATAAGAACCACAACAAATCATTTCTCCATCTTTTCAGAGAAGGGCAAGCCTGCATCTCTGGAATAGTTGGGTAAAAGCCGAGCAGCGGTCTTTCATTTGATAAAAGCTGGCTGGGCTGTTTGTGGTCTTGCTGTCAAGACTCAAGTGGATAATTGCTTTGCACACTGTAGTGAACACAAGTGCTTTGTCACGTTCCTCTGCCTCACACTGTCTGATTCCCCCACCTCCGTATTTGAGTCTGTCAGGGTGGGACTTGGCAGAGTCCGCTTTCCAGCCCAAATACCACGGGTCTGGTTTCTCCTCTGCTAAGTCTTGAAAAGGAAGGCAAGCAGTTGCTGAATGTTGGGAGGGGTTTGTTTTCAGTCTAGCAGACTATTCCATAGACGTGAGAAATTTCTCCAGTCTCCTATCACGCTGACCACTTGGCTGGCTCACAGTTGTTAGAGGTTTGTTGGGTTATTTCTGCCAAACAACACACTTTAATCCAGACATTTGTAATTTATTCCCGCAAATACAGTATTGTAAGAGACATGTACATAGTGAAAATCATACACTTATATATAATGTACACAAAGAAACTTTTTTCCCCTTCTGACTGACGAAACAGTAGCACAACAATTTGAGAGACTAGCTCTGTTTATTACTCTTTATTTAATCAGGTTTGTCATATAACAGATACATAGACAAAAAAATGCAATAGCTTTTGTTTTTATTTATTTGATTGTGTTTTTTTTGTGTCAAAGTTAGAAACGTAGTTGCATTTGCTGGGTTTTTGTTGACTACCCTTTTTAAATGGATGACTTGGGTCCACTATTTTGGGAATCCTCCTGAAACCTTTCGCTGCAGTGTGCTAGTATATTTGCAAACACCTCCCAAAGGTGTAACTCAGTCAACTTTGTAAACCTCATTGGTTACATGCAACATCTCCACTCTGCACAGCTAATTTTCTACGAGACTGAGACCAGAGATTAATGATGGTGTCTCCATGACATAAACTCCGTTGACCTTAGGCCTCTGTCATGATCTTTGTGATGATAACTGGCCTGATTACTAATTTCATTCACATTGCTAGCTCTGCCCAGTTCCCATTACCGTTCATCTGATTCACCTGCTTCAGCCTCTATATAACCAGCCTTTGGACCAATCATTAGTACCAGATTATTCAAGTCTGTGGTGAGAGTTATCTAGAATACCTGACTGTTTTTGATTACCTGAGCCTGACCCGTTCTGCCTCTGGACCTCTGAACGTGTCTGTCCCTGTTCTGATCTGGTTGCCTGACCTGTCCTCGGATTTCTGCTGGATTCTACCTTTGTACCGAACCTGGAACTGATTTCTGACTCTGACCTGGATTTCCCTTCGGTACCTCTTAAGTTCTCTGATCTCCTGATCCTGACTCCTGTGCAACTTCTCGACACAGGCTTTGGCTCTGCTCTCTGGATTATCCTGCCTTCCTTCTTTCTACTCAGGTCTGATCTCCTGCCTTTCATCTGACCTCCAAGACTACAGCATCTGGGACTCTCTGGGTGGCGCATGTCGTGTCTTGTTGGCAGCCGTCAAGCTGGAACCTATCTCATCCTCTGGAAACGGACTGAACTTTAAGTCCAGAGGTTCCTGCCTTAGACACCGTCTCGGTTTTCTTCTGCTACATATTAAATAAATATTTTGTTAAACCTTACTGTCTCTCCACCTTGAATATTAGGTCCTCTTGTTCTGGGTCTGACAGCCTCTTTGGAACTAATTTGGTCATTTTGAAATTTTTGAAGGATGACAATGTAAATGAGCTGTAACACCCTCAGCCAGAAGCTTCACAAGGTCTTTTATTTTTAGTCTGGGAATAATATACAGATTTCACAACAAATACAGGCACCACAGGAAGGAAGAATCCATCTTCTCCCTGACCAGTATATTACTGGATATTGTGTATATCCTAAAATATACTGCAGACTGGCATGACAACTTTAGAAGTCTGCTAACTGTACCTAAGGATGAAAAAGATTAGTATTATAAAAAAAGAAATTTTTTGGGATATTTTCCCTGATCTCTCTTTTTATTTTTACGTTGTGGATTTTTTTTTGCCAAGATATCACAAAACTAAGCAGAGTGTTTATGGATATTGCTTAAAATACACCCACTGGTGCCACAGTTCAACTCAAGTTATAGTAAATCAACCAGAATAGAAGCACATCATAAGGTTTACTTTTTTTTTACTGTTAAAAGTCAGTCCTCTTACTTTATGGTATGCAACTTAAGACTTTGAAGAAAGTAAAAAAAAATCTCATTTCTTTTATTGTTTAACATATAGAAATAAGTTTGGTAATCCTAATTTAACTGAAAAGGAAACATAATAGCTGTGTTTTTTAAAGTGTATTTAGAAATCTGGTCTCAGCTGGTAAACACTTTAGCAAAGCCTGCAAGCAAAAAGGTAGCAAAATCCAAACTTTCTGCTCAGCTTCTCCACATTACTGTCTGAAATCTTAAATCTCACAGCAATAAAAAAACAAAATCACAGTGAACACTCTGCTATGCCAAGCACATGCTGTTGCTCCAACAATTACAGGCATGACTTCTATTGAGAAAGCAGACTCTAACTTACCACCAGTTGCCACAGTGATTTCACGCAGGAGATGTCCATAAAACGGGAAATCGAAGGACAGATTAACTCTCTGAATGGAAAAACAGACAGATGGTTTAAGTCAGAAAAATAAAGGTAACAGAAAATCAAAGCAGAAACTACTTTTTATCTTAAATACAACAGAGAATAAAGACCAGAGAGTAAATGGGGAAAAGTTAAGCGAAGAGGGGGCGCTTTTTTAATACAGGTAATAACTGATGGTCTGTGGCACACATTTCACAAGATTATGTGAAACAAAGATAAATCTTGGCAGTAAAATGTTTTGCTTCTAGAAGAGTAAATAAAGTATTTATTAATAGGTTGATAAGGAGATAAACTATAATGTTTTAAATACTGTTTCATTAAGTTACATTTAAGATAGTAATGAATCTGGATACAAAATAATTCAATATCACTGATTAATAACTTATCATCAATTAGCAAAATAACTTAAGTTAAATATTTTCTTGTAAATGTAAAAAATATTTGGTGAAATATTTGGAATCCTTTTTATATTTGGGTTACCTGACATTGTCTTCTTACATAAAATCAGACTGACATTTATTCGATTGTATAAAACATGTAGCTTTATTTACTGAGGTGATTCTGTGAACTGTAACCTTTGTTTTCTGTTTTTAGGAGTGGGACTAGGTTTGGTTTTCATCAAACATCCCATTCAGAACAACACTGGCAGAATTTCACCCAGCTCGGCTCGCTTCATCATCAGATATCAGAAGTTTCTATCTTGCTCTCTTTTCAACCCAATGGTTTTACCGTGCAAGTCAAGCTGTTTTGTTTAATGCGGTAAGCAGAATGACAGGGTATGTGTTGCTGGGTCCACCAGATCCTCTAGATTTCTTCCCAGTCTGGCAAGAACAATCACCTGATTCAGGAGCTGTGACTAGATGATGGTCGCTTTCAGCGTTACTTCCATCTGTCCAGGACCAAGTGAGGTCCCGCATCGGCAGACAAATCACAAGATGTATTTTCATCAGTGGGCACTGCATTCCAGATTATATAACCATTTGAGATTTAACTATTGGAGCTAAAATACCATTTAATATTTATCAACTTATCAAAGAATATCAGAGAAGATTATGCTCACATACCACAGTTATGGGCTGCACCATTTTAAATATGTCACAATAACTGCCAGAGGCCATCATGAAGATCGGCAGCTGCAATAAATACTGTAACTACATAGCCCTCCGTTAGTAGTTTTGTGGTAAACTGTCCTGAATCTCACAAACTGTGTCAGCTTAACTTTGCAGAAATCATCTGGTAGAGCTGGCCTTATCATATTTTGTTTTCTGACTTCTACCAGCCATTTTTTCCTGTGTCTGGGCCAAGGTTTTGGCAGGTGGTGGGTCTGGAAAGGAGTATGTTCTGCTAAGCTTAAGGCAGTTTCTTAGGATTTTTACTGCCCATTACAATGAACTGAAACATTTCCCCTCTGTCACGCCTCAGATCAGTCCAACACAGATGGTTTTCCCTTCTCAGTGAATCATCCAGGATTTCCATATATCCATATATCTCCCTGTTGAGTGAGGCTATTTACTTATCAATTTGTCAAACCAAGCCAAAGTTGGAGAATAAGCCAAAATAGTTCAAATGTCTTCTTTCAGCAGGAATATATCATCCTTGAATGAGTAAAGTTAAACCCATCATTATAACAGACTGAAAGCAGAGGAGCAGAATGCACAATGAGGGACTCTATTCTGTCTCCTCTCCAACTATTGTTCACTCAGGTTACTTCCTTTCTCCCTGCTGTCATGCTGCTCTGTCTCCCTGGTCGGCGGCTGCTGCCTTATGTGACTTTATCAGTATGCAGCTCACATGGGTCACCTGCCTGCACCGACTAGGAGGGAGGGCTTTAAACTAGCAGCAGATAAGAATTTAAACTGCATGGAAAACAACAGCTTTTTTTGGTCTTTTAGTGCTGGAATATGAAAGATGAATCCATAAAGATCCAATCTGAGTTCATATAGTAGAGGTTTATATGCTGATTTGTCCAGCGAGGAGGAGGCATTGAGAATTGTCATCAGAGAGCAATAGCTTGAAGATGTAAGAAACTGGCATCTGATGTATAGATTATAATGTTCTTTGAAGAAAGCCCAATTTCACTTTAATTCACCACCATGGCAAATTAACATTTTATGTTTGACAGCATTGACATGTCAAAAATGATAGTCAAAAAATTAAAATCCTATTCGCAACAGGACAACAGTTTCTGGAACGTGTAGAAAAACAATGTCCTCTTTTATTAACTACGGAGCTTCCTGCAAACAGGATCTGCAGTTTTTGCTATATGTGTTTCTGTGCTGCAAATAAGCAGAATCGTTGCTTTTTTTAATACTGCAAAAAATGTAAATCTAAGTAAGTTAATTTTTCTTAAAATGAGTGCATCTTTTCTTCAATTAAGCAGACAAGGGCGTGATTTTGCCAATGGAATAAGACAATTTACATCTAAAATAAAAAAAAAAACACATGCAGGCTCTTATTTCAAGTGCATAATAACTAACTACCTTATTTTAATGGTAAAACTGCTCATTCCATTGGCAGATAATCTTATTTTCCTACTCAAATTAAGGGTAAATACAGTTATTTTAAGAAATTTTTACTCAATTTAAGAATGTTTTTGCCGTGTATATATTAGGGCCATCATGGCATCAACATTCATTCATTCATAGTACCTTCCTGTTTTGTCGGTGTGACATACATTTTTAAAAGAATTGACTCCTGTTATAGAAAGCTGCCTGTTTTTGTCGATACTACAGATTTTTTATTGCTTGCCTCTAAAATAGTCAAAGTCTTTAGGTGAAGTCACTCTCTGGTTTTTACTAAAGCTAAGAAATTAATTGCATTTTCAATATAATCGCAATTTACAATATATGAAATCTCAGTCACAGAATCACTTAATTTCGGTTATGTTGCATGTTACGAGAGTAAGACATTAACTGTCTGACCCCAGCCCTTCAGGTGACAGTAAAACACTTTAAGAGGATTTGTCAACAAACATAAGGGGAAAAATGCAGCTATTTCTTTGATCAAAGCTAGGAACAGAAAAGTCCTGTGATAGTGGACTCTGGACAAGAGCTCTTAAGGTCACCCTGGGCTAAATATCTTTATGATTGTGGCAAGGGCGGGAAAAAATCAATATAAAATTTAAATAAAAAAATAATGATAAAAAAATAGCAATTTTTAATTTTTGCAGAATTGTGCAGCCATCCTGTTGCTTTTCCTGTTAAGTTTCTTTGGTTCTGCTTTAACTTATTTTTGCATGAATGTGTTATTAAACATTTTTGCAGATATTAATCAAGCTAAAGAGAATCTTTCTTTGACATTTGACAGAGCGAATGTGTTACATGGTCATAATCATGATTAACTCTCCACTGCTCCAGTGTTGATTTACACCGTCACTCTGAAATCAAGCAGGCAGGTCTTCAGGGAACCTGTTCCTTCTTCATCTTGATAATGTGTAATTTATGAGTCTTGTTCAGGTTTCTCTTTATACAACCCAGGATTTTTCTACTTTTATCGGACATGTTCTCTTATTTTGCACTTTTATCATATAATGATATTGGGAGTAGCCTACACTGAAGTTTAATTATGTTGTTTTATTATTGCAAGGGACCTGCATGTTATTCAAAAGTATTTCAATTATTCCATATAATGTGTCATAGATTAATTTAAATAATTGCCAGTTGCCAATTGTTAAATACAGCCTACATGTAGTGTAACACAGTTGACTTATCAATAGAGAAAGGTGGAGTAGACAACAAATTCTGTTTCAACGTATCCCTACTGAAGTAAAAAGTAAAAATTATCAATTAAAAAACTTATTAAAGTGAGAGTAAAAAGGTTTTTGGTAAAAAGCCTATTTCAGCATTGAGTGACTACTAATAACATTTCATTTAGTATTTAAAAAATCTATTTTCAAGCAGAAACAAATTTTAGTACATTTTTTGAAAGAATAAGAAAAGAAAAAAAAATGTGGTTGAAAATAACTCCAGACAGGAAAACACAAACATACATAATTAACACTTACAGTAATTACAGTTGGGAATATATAGATATTTACTGCAATCATTTAACCTTCAATTACAACAGCAGGCTATGCAGATTAGAAAACAATGTCTAAATTAATAATCCTTGTTTCTTTACAAGCTAATAACTTACATTTTCTATTTCAGATGTGCTTTTTTTAAAACAAGCTTATTCTTTATTCAATGACTATACTGATACTGTAGGAGTAGCTGTAAATCTTAATAATACTATTAATAAAACTCGTTTTCAAACATAAGTCCTGCAAATGTAACTAGTCAATACCGACCTCTGGTCATATCTGCTTTACAAAATTATACATATTTCTATTATCTTTCAACACTTTGTTAGATTTAAACTACATGTCAACATACTGTATTGGGATATTGTGTAAAAGTCCAACACAAAGTAAGTTACTATGAAGTAGGTGGAATTTGACACAAAAACCCTTTTTCTGCAGTTATAGGCTGTTTTGAGGGATTATCATCATGAGGGTTTAATAAAACAAAGCATGCCATAATTTTCATGTTTATGCTTGTACAAACATCCGTACAAAACTGCTCTATGTTATGTCGTCGTACAACTTTAAATATGTTGTCCAAGTTTGTAGTTGTAAACTGTCACTTTGTGAAAAACCTCAAGGGTTATAAAAACAATGAAAATACTTTGATACTCTGCAAGACAGAACTATGGGCTTAAATAACATATAGCATCCATTAGATTGCTCATCAGGCTGTTGTTGACTTACCGCCGCCTGCCTGTGTGTGTTGGATAGAATCCCATGGATCTTTACTTTGTCCTTCTCCATCTGTTCAATATTTACCCACAAGTCTTTGCTCATAGGATCTGAGGGGCCGTATGTTTTTGATGTGTAGTAGTTGTGATCCATGTCCTCCTACAGGAATGACAAAGCAAAGAAAGGTTTGAGATTTGAGTTTATGTAATAGCATGAACGTAAAACAAAGTGCTTTGCTACATAAATAAGCTCTGACTTATACACATTTTGTCATGTTACAACAATAAATCTAAATGTAATTTTTAATGGGATTTTATTACAGACCAACACAAAGTACCATAACTGCGCTGGACCATTCTGTTAAAATTCCTTATACCACCATTTAATTAAGTCAATAAAGTAGTCTTCCAATTTTACTTAATAACAAATTATAAATATTGATTAATAAGACAATATAATCATTTACATTATTATGCAATTAGTCTATTCTGATACTGGTTAAGTTCAATTTGCATATTTATTTAGTAGCTAATTAAATTGTGCAAAGCAACTCAACTTCTTGTTTTTTTTTTTTTTTAAAGCTTGGCTACATGGAAAAGTCAGGGCTGTCATTAATAACAGAAACATTTGCTGACTTTTATAAGCTACGTAGCAGGAGGTTGTCAGCTTTTATTGTTTCCTGTGTTGAATTAAAGGGAATGCTTGCGTTATCTGCCTCTCCCTGTGGGTGTAATGATACATAACAGCTGTGTCTTTTATCTAAAACACTGTTAAAGTTAATATTTTGCCGGGCAGGCAGGGAGGGGCAGACTTCTCCTGGCTGTGATCTGAATAAAGGGAGCTCGCACAGCTCTGTGGTTGCTTTGAAATACAGGCAATATCATTCAGAGATATTTCACTTTGGTTCTCAAAATGCCAAGAGACAAACTGCATTTAAAGCACAATCCTTTTCTTCTGAGAGGGATTTTCCTTCAGGAGTAGTATATTATTTGTCTAGAAGATATACAACCTCCATATTTGTTCTTGTATATCCGATAAAAAGGGACAATGTCTCAGAGTTGGCAGAAACCAACTCTGCAAATGAACTCAAAATGTTAGTTAAGTCATTTTAGTTGTGTTACTTCTGATTTATCTAAAAAAGTATTGCCAAACACATTTTCTATTAAAGCAGTTAAATCATGTCAACCTCAACAATTTCCTTCTAGAATATAAAACAAGAAAGCTATAGGAGTACAGTGCTTAAAAATGTTTATAGAAACCATCTGCTTTGTTTCCACACTTTAATGTTTAGGATCAAACAAACATTTATATGAAACATACCGGTATACCAAAGGACAACATAAGGTAGCTTTTTTGATTAATTATCTACTCGGATGAAGGGGGAGAAGCAAATCCTCTCCCCAAATTCTACATAACCCCTTAAATGGGATTAACAAAGATCTCATAGTACAACTGATTATTCCCCTATCCTGTGAAATTAAGAAAAAAAAAGTAAATTACATATACGAGTCTGAAAGTCTCTACAGGGACACTTTTTCAAGATATCTGTGACTCCAGTGAAACACAGTAAAAGTCATTGTTCACAAATGTAGAAAATATGGAACAATGGTGAACAGGCTGCCTACCAAAACTACTACAGGAGATCATTGACAACTCACCCAGGAGGTCACAAATGTAATCGAAAACAGCACAAACCTATCTTGACTTAATTATGAGTAGTTCAGTGTTGGATAGTAAAAAAATAGAATTCCCCTTATGGGAAAAGCCCAATGTCACAGTAACCAAAAGCATCTTTATTTTTCCCAAAATTTAGAAATTTAAGAAAAAATAAACTCATATACACAGTCAAACATGATAGTCTGCATTTCTCTTTTGTATTTACGTTATCTTAACTTTCAATTCAGATAAATGATCTGAGAAGAAAGAAAACAAACAAAGCTGACCAGAACACAGGGAACAAAAAGGGGCTTTATAGGGTAGTTAAAAATATTCATATTATAAGATTCACATCCATTCAGAATTGAATAGACATACTGAGGTCAATTTCTAGATTCATCAAGAACTTTTTCAAGGTAACTGAGGCAAATGGTTAAAAGTTTGTAAAAGGTCATTTCAAAGGTCTTTATGGTTATTACCCTCTAAATTCAAATGGTCTAAATTAGCATAATGGTAGCTCTTAATTAAACGGAACATACAGGAAACCATTCTGTGAGGTGTATAAAGCATTTACCATCTGGACCTCAAACATTTTGTCTTTTAAGTCGAAATAAGTGCTTAATATTATTGCTTTTAAGGAATAAAAACCTTAACAAAATCGTGTCAATGTACTTTTAATACATCTTTAGCATATTTTACTTAAATTTTCAGACATGCTTACAAACACAAACCCTAAAACATGATGTAAAAGTGAATATTCTCAACGTAAAAGCACCAAGGGAGACTTTGAAGCAGGAGCGGAATGAAATAATTTTCACCCAAATGATTTATCTGCATATTTTACCTGAGCAGCCCACTTCATAAATATTGCATTATCGTGCAAAATGAATATTGATCCAACATATTTCCACTTCTGAATGTTTTTGCAACAGAGCATAGACCTCAAATAAAGGCTTTTATTCAAATACATTTAAATGGCTTAAAAACAGTTGTTCAAAGTAAGCAAGTCAAGATATTTTCCCCCAAATCACACAGTATAGAAACTGCCATTGTGGTTGATTTCAAAGAGAAATTCACTCCGAATGAATGATTTAGTGTCTTGGTGTTAAGGTGTATTTTACTGTGACTTTGAACTGAAGTGTTTTAAAATGCTCTTTATAGTCACCATCCGTCATGTGAGCAGCTCTGCTTTAGCTAATAATGGTTTGTCTCCATGATTTGTTGCTGCTCATTGGTATTGATGCATCAGCCCAGTGACTTATAGAAAGAATATATTTTCAATAGTCCCAGTGTTAAACATTTAAAACACAAAATGAGCATGGGCAGAGTAAAACAAAGGTTGATTTAGCTTTATTTAAAAGATGACCAAGAGGTCTCTTTGAATCCTGATAGCTAAATAAATATACGATTAAATCCAGTCCACACTCTAATTCATCCCAAAAGATGTTCCATCTTTAGGAAGCTGGACCTCTGCAGGACACTCAAGCTCTTCCAAATTTTACTGGCTCATTTATGTCTTTATGGACCTTGCTTCTAATACATCATGAACAAACTGCTTCAACCGAATCAGCAGCATACAATTGTTCAAAATGTCTTACTACTCAGAAGCACTGGAAGTTCCTTTCACTGGATCTTAGGGGTTGGAATCCATTTCTGAAAGACAGCTCCAACCCATAATCCCCTCTGCAACAAACTTTATACTTGAAATAATGCAGCAAGTCAAGCGCTTTTCTACTGATAACTGCCAAACTGCCAAACCCCGGCTCATTTACTGGAAATGAATGATTGGTCACCCCAGAGAACAGGTCTCTAGGGCTCTGGACTTCACTGATGTGGTCAGCAAATCATTTCAACTCAGTCAGCTTTCTGTCATTTCAACTTTAGCAAATTACTTTTACAAGAGCTTATACATTAATAGTTTAAAGTAAAATATGGTTTTAACTTTTATGTATGAACTCAGAGGTGCAAACAAAATATAATAACCTTATTAAAAGGAAGTGTATGTGTGTTGTAAATAAAACTTGTATTTTATATGACAAGTTTTAATATTGGTAATTATTTTCAGTGTAGCAAAACAAATTTACTCTCTAGAAGCAAAGGACATAATTAACTGCTGGTTATAAATGGCTTAGGCTGTTGTCCCTTTTTTTAAGTATTTAGAGTAAACAAATAATAGACACCACATCTATCCATTTTAATATAGAGCAAATTGTTCCTATGTACCACGCTCTTTGGTATGTCAATTTTTTACTTTATTTTCTTTCACTATAGAATTAAATTAACCCTCTCCTTCAGAGATGCAACCGGCTCCTCTTTAGGACCCAGGAGAGTGAGAGTCCCCCTTAAGTTGTGTTTCTAATTACATCTAAATTCAAAACTGAATGTAACCAAAACATGTAAAACAAAATTCATCCTAGCTGTACAAGCACTGTGGAAAACATAACCAGTGTTTACGTGAGTGACATGAATTCTATGTTAGCCTGTTAAGATAATCTGACTTTCAAAGCTGGGAATCTGTCTGCTAGGAAGGTTCTGATTAAAATCTGACTTGGATCTCTGAGACTTCTGAATCCATACAAGTAAAACTGAAAAAAAAAAAAAACAGTAGTAGCAGATATACGCTATTTATGCGTTGCACGGTTGAATATACACTAACTAAAGGGATATTAATTCAGCTTGTGTGTCTGTGTTACCCTACATTACTAAGGGGCATCAGCTAATAAATTAAATTGACACTGTTCCACAAGATCAATAAGCAGCATAAGCTGAATCCAGGAACATGATATATAATTTAGTGGTTCTCCTCATGGCTGTACAAAGTGGGCTACACACTACGCTCATAAGCTCATGGTCGTGAGTGAAGGCATCAGATAAATATTTGAAAAGATATGGGTTCATGTGAAGAGTATTTCCAACCTGCAGCAGCTGTGTGAGATGGCCTAATGCTGCAAAGTCTTAGACAGGAAAAGGCTTTACCTATCCATCAATACAATCCAGTGGGAGTGTGTCACCAAATAGATTGTGTCTCATATGTAAAAATCCATTCATTCATCCATTTTCCATCATGCTTTTTCCCAGCTGGGGTCGGAAGGGGTTTTGGTGCCTATCTCCATATGGAAAAAAAAGGCTTTTATATATGAATCATGTAAAAAGGCCTAATAGTTGTGTCAGTTTTTAGAGTCGTCCCTCCTTAGAAAATCACACAAACCTGAACCTTACTGCAATGATTTGAAGCATTTTTAAACAAGCAGGTGAATAAGCAGCATGCAATTTCATTGACAAACCATAACTACCAAGAGCAGAGCTGGCTTATTTTCAGGGTAGATGTGAAAGTGCAGCCATGACAGTGAACATGCAAATCAATTTCCATCTAAACACAGAATGTCATTTGTCTCTCTTGTCTTCATCTAAACGCTGCAACATGGTTGTGAATAAAGATCTCTGTGTAATCAGTCATCACACAGCCTGATGCATGTTCCCCATGTTTTTTTTCATGGAGAAGA